CCATCCAAGAATCAGGAAGCGAAGATGAATCAACTACTTGCTGAACTGAAAAGAGTACAACTCAAAGGCGATGAGCTTGAACAAATGCTTAAGCAGAAGTCTATGGAGGTCGATGAGGGAATGGAATTGCAGAGTAAGTTGCTCGTAGTGATTCAGTCGAAAGATTCTGTCATTGTGGATAAGGAAAAACAACTGAAAGAGAATGAAGAAGGTAGAAATGTGCTTCTTGCCAAACTGAGTGATCTTGAAAAAAGAGTTGATGAACTCCAAGAGGAGCTAGGAGAAAAGATTGACCTAGTAACCAAGGGAAATGAGCTTAAAGAAAATTTATTCCGGAAGATTGAGTATCAGGATGCTGAGATAATGAATAAAGAAAAGCTTTTGAAGGATCAGGAAGAAGAGAAAAAACTTATTCTGGCCAAATTAAGACTTTTGGAAGAAAATGTTGGTCAACTCCAAAAGGATCTCCTAACAAAGAACGACGAAGTGGAGGGTTGTGTGAAGGAGAAAAAACTGCTTCTGGTCAAAGTAACTGGTTTAGAGGAGAAAGTTAATGAGCTACGGGAGGATCTCAGGGGTAGGGTCAGCGAAGTGACCAAAAGAAGGGATTCGGGGGAAAAGTTACATAAACAAATTGAATCAATGAACTCGAATTTACTGGCTGAGAGGAAGAAGTACACGGATCTTACTGTTGCTTACAAAAGGCTGAAATCTCAGCACAATTATCTCCGCACAAAGCATGGTCTTACTAGGGAGAATATGCTCCCCCAAAACAAGTTGGAAGATGGAAGTGATTCATTGAGAAATGATCACAATCCCTCAACTTCCCATGGTATGATGCTCTTGCTTTTTTCTTTTTTCCAACTTTATTACTTATTTTTTTGCAAAATGAAATATAAATACACTGTCAGAAACTATTAGTTATTACAAAAAATTATGGTGATCTACCAAATAGAGTTGCTAGATGATTTTTGGTTGGCTGATCTTCGTCTGTAACTTTGATTTGAAGTCTCAGTTTTATCTTTTACTTTTAAGAACTTCCTTTGGTTCCTAATTTCATAGAATTAGGCGAATAGTAGGCATGCATTTACTTTTAGCCTATGGTTGGTTTTACCACTATGATTTCATTTGCTGGTATCCTTTGTTTAATCCATTAACCTATTGCAAAAATGGTAGGTTTTGTAGACAAAAATCAGCATGCTTCTGCAGCAGCTGGTTACGTGAAAAAAGTGAAGAATGAAATCAGTTGTAACAATAACTTGGAGGATGAGAAAGGAGGCAAGCTAATTCAAGAAACTAGTCCTCACTCTCCTACTTCCATCTTCCCCGTTGCACCAAAATGCCCTCCCACTGCAAAATCTGCCCCAGTAGCTGGGAGAAAAAGGCCTGCTGCCTGCTGGATAGATACTAGGTCCCGTCAAGGCCAAGGTGGGCCTGACCCGCATGATGATTTTCTTGATACCCCACTGGAGAACATCAGAGGAAACTTGAATAAAGCCACAATGGAACAAGTTCCTGATCTTCCAGTTCCAGTTCCAGTTCCAAATGACATGAACCTAGATAGCTCAGATGATGAAACACAGGATGTGAATGCTGTAATTAAGCCACAGAAGCAGCAGATTCCAGTTCCAGTGGCCGGCAAAAATGGTTTCAAGTTTGTGGAACCTGTAAGAAAGAAAGCTGAGCGGGAAAATTTGAAAGGAGTTGAATGCAAGCAGTGCAAAAAGTTCTATGATGCTGTTCTTCCCAATGATGGGAGTGGTAAGGATATTGATAAAAATAAGCATAATTTCCGCTGTGAGCACCATGAAGGTGTTTCTCGACATCGGTATAGGTATGCTCCTCCTCTGACTCCGGAAGGATTTTGGAATATTGGATTTGAATCTGAAATGTGATATTGACAAATTCGTTATTCATTGATTTTTATTTTATTTTTTCAGAGAGCAATAACTTGTATTGATATTTAATTTCATATTTCCAACTCTGTGGGTCTTAAAAGGACTCAAACAGGGAGTATTACCCAAAAGGTAGAATAGGAGCCATGCCAGAAACGATAGTTCTTGTATTTGTCAAATAACTCTTTTTCCCAAACATTTGTCTATTCTAGAAAGAATAGTTTCATAGTTTTACATCCTCATGTATGTCCCATATTACAGGACACAGTTTTAGAGTTTTAAATTCTGAGAATTTGGGCATATAAACTCATCCGTTAGATATGTTGGGTTGAGAAGTGAACATTATGTATAGCATAGGTGTTTGGTACGAAATTTTTTTTTCTTCTTCTTTGTGGAATTTCCTTGGTTTGAAAAGCCTGTTTGTTCTGATTGTGCGTCACAACAGCTTCCTATAGTGAATTAGATGTTAGGGAAAAGGAAAACCTCTTCATGTTAGTGGGGTAATTCAAGTGATTGATTTCATTGTCACTAGGCCCTCAAGTATAAGTATAATTGTTTTGCAGAAAGAAAAGGTCAATTTATCATTTTGGTATTCATACCCTAGTTTATCCATATAAAGGAAATTGTTGGTACCTACTTCCCATATTTTAAACTCTCTAATGTCATTACTATAGCATCCAATTCTCTGATTTCATCATTACTAGTATCCAGACCAAATGTGTCATTATTAGATTAAGCAAATTAAGTGTGCGTTTGAACTGGTCTTATAGTTTCCTCTTGTATTAGGTATAGTTTCCTTCTTGATGTACCCTTGAAAATACATAATCAGGTGTGTAATTAGGTTAAACGAGTCCTTTACCATTAGAATCTTGGCATGTGCTGTTCTTTGCTGTAGTGCCAAAGAAAACCTTAAAGTCATTTTCTGCTGATTCAATAATTCGACACATTTTGCACATAGAGTGGCACCACAATGGAAAAGTGGGCCAAACACCTCCCCCTCCCCTCCAAGTGCACCTGGGTTCGATTCACGCAGGAGACAAGCTTGAGGCAACCCAATAAAATACTTCCCCCTTCCTCTCCCTAGCGAATGATAAAATAAAAAATTAAAAAAAGACACATTTTCTGTTATTATAGAATGATCATAAAATTTTCAGGAATTGATTCAATAACATTATGACAACATTTTAGCGTTTAGGGTGCTTCAACCACACAATTCTAACAACCAGACTTGTATTGTATGCCCCATTATTAAGTCAGAGAAAAAAAAATAGTAAGAAAAATGTGAGAGTTGATTTATGGTGAAGCATGGGATGAGGAAGATGTCCCCTTTACTGTATTTAAGGAGGTTGATGAGTGGAGGTACATACAGACAGACCGTGCTATTGATATTGAATTCTGAATTGAATTATTGGAGCCAATTTGTTCCTATCAATATTCCGTTTTTGGCCTCTTCAGCTTCAGATCCTGACTGGTCTTGTGACTCTTGTCCTCCTATGGGATAAAAGGTAGGTGGGGGGTAATGTTGTAAACCGGCGCATGCTAGTAAAAGCATACTTATCTTTGCCACCGTGCGCTGTGAGTTAAATTGTTTGTGTACGGTGGGAGTGGGGGCAGGCAGTGTCTGTCGACTGGCTGTCTTGGTGCGTAAATTCAATTCAACGTGGGAATAGTTAAGAGGAAGTGCTCTGTAGGACTAGGACATATCGTATATTTATTTATTTGCTGTATATGTGTGAGACCTTGACCTCGCTTCTTAGCCTTCCAGTTTTGGGAACTGCTGCTCAACCCAACATGAATGGTGGCAAGTTAATGCTTGCAACTACCCACCTTGTATATGTTGATTTATTGTTTGTGATCGCGGGTTAATAATGGTTTGTACAATTGCATTGCCTAGTTCTTTGAAGTAACCGACTGTTTTCGTGAAATAAATATGTATGTAACATGCAACCTAAGTTGTTATAGTACAATTCTGCCCATTTTATCCATTGAAAATGCTTTTTTATACATGCAAGAGAATAGGGAATGTTCACGAGACCGACCAAACCAAAGCAAAGAGATTGATTGATTTAGTCGCCTTATCCAAATAATTTGAGGCCTAAAATGAACAAATTCGAACCATAACTCTGTATCTAATTGCCTTGTTTTCTGTTGGAAAAGACTTTTTAACCTTTCTTTATTCTCTTCTTTTAATATATGAAGAAAGAAAAGGATGAAATCTTTTCAGCTTTGAGATTTGTAACACCCTAGCTTTCCGAGTCATATCAGCAATATCCCATTTCCAATTATTCCACACATACATCACAGAGATATAGTTGTCGGCATCTTTTTCCACTAACCTCAGATCTGTTTGTCTCAAACTTATGATGGAATTTCATGTGCTTGCATTTTTGTGAACTCCAAAGTTAAAGCTAAATCACTACTTTAACCAAGAAAGCAGATAAAAATCCTTAAATCAAGGTTCCATCACAAAAGAACTAAAGTTGGGACCCTCTTAGATTACATCAATTTGATCATCTATGTTCTTTTTTCACATAACGTAACATTGTAACATTCGCTCGTTTTGTTTGAAGAATGTTATGCTGTCAAACTATTAATATGAACTACAAGTGAGTCCAATATCGGCCAAATTAACAGTTGGGCAATACGATCTGGATGTTTCCAAGACCAAAGATACTGCAAATGAAAAGAATAGGATGCATTACCTTGTAGATAATTCAAATACGAAATATAAAGTGGGTGAAGTTTGCTAACTCACTCTACGAATCTTATGAGCAGTTATTGAGTATACGATGCTCTGTTTCACGTGCATGCATCTGCATTCTGCATTCTGCCTTATCTTTGTCCTTTTCAACTCCCGACACAAACGACAAATTCTTGTAGGTGTAGCTTTTAAATTTCATTGCAGCTTTGAAAAATTAAACCACATAATATAAATTGTTACAATTACACACATATTATAAAATAAAAAACAACTGCCCGGAACCTCGGACCGAAACGAAACGAAACGAAACCGATACAATAACTTACAAATCCCTATCGGCCGAATCATATTCATTGAATCATTACCATGATTAACAAGTCTTTAATGGATTCCCGCAGAGACAATCATTGTTGGCAAACGACGACGCTTCGAGGTGATCGAATGGGTTGCCCACCGGAATGGTCCCACACAAGTGGTTGTGGCTCAGATCCAGGTGCCCGATATATTTGGCCGCCGATAGCGAACCGGGTATCGGGCCCTTCAAGTTGTTGTACGACAAATCCAGCGCCATGAAATACGAATTTCCGTGGGAAAACGTCCGGTATGTTACCTCCAATGCTGTTTCGGCTCAAGTTCAAGATGCCCAAACCCCGGTTGCTCAAAAGGGTGGAAGGCAATTGACCCGAAATTAAGTTCCCGTCCAAATTCAGCGTCGAAAGAACCTGCATTTTTCCGAGACAGTCCGGTACACTACCCGAGATCCGGTTCCTGGACAGGTCCAAGTCGGCTAACCGGTTCATGTTGCCGACGGAAACAGGGATGGACCCGGTGAGCTGGTTCCGGTTCAGCAAAGCCCGGCTCAGCATCTTGAGTTTCCCGAAATCGGCCGGCATTTCGCCCGAGATTTGGTTGTTGCTGACGTCCAGGTGCATTAACCCGGACATGCTTACTATGCTAGCCGGAATCTTGCCGGATATCTGGTTGTCGGCCAGATTGAGGACGGCGAGCATCTTGAGGTTTCCAATATCGGCCGGAATATCGCCAGAAATCTTGTTTCCGATAAGGTCGAGGACTCGGAGATTGGAGAGTGAAGTGAGGCATTTGGGGATCTCGCCGGTGATTCCCTTCCAGTCTGCGACAATGAGGGTGGTGAGGCGGTCAAGTTTGCAAATTTCGGGCGAGATGGAGCCGGACATGAACCCGGACTGACCCGATTTGGTGAGTATCGGGTCCTCCGACTCGCCTCGGAGGTTAATGTCGACGACTCGCTTAGTTTCGGGGTCGCAGCTGACGCCGTACCAGTTTACGCAGCAGTCGGTTCCTACCCAGGAGTTGAAGAGACCCAAATGGGAATCGGTGAGGCCGGTTTTGAAGGCTTTAAGAGCTGCCAAGTCTGCTGGTGAACAAGAGTTCACGCTTGAGATAATGGCACAAAATATTGTCACTGAGATTAAAAACAACCTCATTTTCATTTTCATGGTTGAAAGTAGAGAGAGAGCTTCTCTGTATTTGTTCACTAAGTTTTGTTGATGGATGTCTGCAAGTGTTAAATGTTTTGAGAGAGAGAGAGAGAGAGAGAGAGGGAGAGAGGGAGATGGGTTTGGGAGTTAAGAGTTTTGGGGTTGGGATATATACAAGGAGTTTGGAGTATAGTGAGATTGGTTCACTCACTGTCACTGTGCATGTGATTACAGGTTTAAGGATGTAATTGAATATGGATTGCACATGTATTTGCTGATTAACACATCACATGCAAATACAGTTTAAGGCTTTCTAGACTGTGAATCCCATGAAATATATATAATATTCACCATTTACCAATGCAATTTGGTTTGGTTGTGAAAGAGGGGTGTCACCAGTCTGAATTTGCATTGAATGCAAATAGCGAGTTGTTGTGAATTTATATGCAATAGAGAAGAAATGTGACAGATACGTCAATTGGATAAGATGGTACGTACGTTTCTTTGTTTCCGAATTCGATTCTCCTATTCGTATATTAAAGTAGTTTAAAATATCACTTTTTTCTAATTTTTTCTAGAGCCGATCATGGTCGTATGATTTCATTTTAGCTTTAATTTTTTGCCGCAAAACCCAAAACCAAAACTAAAACTGACCAATGTGGCCATGTAATATACCTCAAATTAATTGGGAGGCTTGCCTCATAATCAACCATAGGCAGAGGCATGGGTCCCTTTCTCCACTGGTATTTGCTAATTTCCTCATATTTACAAGACATCTTTAAAATGAAAGATACAAGTTTTCATTATCTAGCGCATTATAGCATGATGATGATCCACAAAATATATGTACGCCCCACCATGATCTCAATGATTGAAGGCCTTTCTCTTCCTAATTTTATTTCTGTCCCTACGTAGATTATATGATCATCATCTTCAAACACTTAAACAAGTGTTTTTATGAATTCCTAATGAATTTCTGACACCGACATAAAAGTTTTCTACAAAATAATAATGAGTTTACTTTGTTAATTACATCCCCCATTTGCATTCCAAATGATACAATCAACTGACATCGGTTGATCAAAAGCTTCAATGAGAAGAAAAGTTTTTTAAACACATGATCATGATTGTTTGTGTTGTTATCTTTTCTTTTACCTAGATTGTGACAACAATACAATCATGATTAGTATCTTAGCTAAAAATTATTCAACACTTATCCTTCCCATGAATATTTTTTTTTTTTTTTTTTTTTTTTTTTTTTTTTTTTTTTTTTTTTTTTGGTGGGTGGCGGAGCAGTTCTTTTATCCGCTCCGTTATTGTAATGTTCCTTTGTGACTAGTTTGTATTGACCTTTTGTAGTTATTGATTTTTTTTAGCTGAATTATAAATTGCAATTCCAAAATTTCTAAAATAATAATAATAAAATCAAGGGTAAAATAACAGGACCAAGGCCTAAAAGTTGGTTGAATGATTGTCTTGTCAATGGTTTGCTATTTTTTCTTCTTTAAATTATAGATTTAAAGTTTATTTTTGTTCCAGATCATAGATTTCCTATATATTCGCGTCTTATCCAACCTTTCGGCCCTGGCTTTCAAAATTATAATACAATAAAGATGGGATAGAACATGTCTTGGTCCTTGAAGATTTGTCCCCACTGTTTAATTTGTCATGGCCTGGTCGGCAGCTCCAGGCCTGAAGTGCTGTAATGATGCACTGAAATTTTCATACATGGAGGTTCATTATTTCAGCATTGATTAATTTATTTTCTCTTCTTAATTTCCCTTCTCATTTTCCATAGTCAAGTTAAAAATGATTGCAAATCAGGCTCACTACTTAAGCAAAGAGTTATGTTCTTTGTGTGGATAATCAAAATGGAGTCATCATGCGAGATCGGATGTATTGTTTTATTGACGGTCGAATTTTGATCTTTAAATTTGTTGATTTTCATTTTTAATGACTAATACGCCGGTGCATTAGATTTATGAGACAAGTACTCTGCAGGTCTATCATGTTATAAGTAGGTAATTAGCTTCAAGAAAGAGCACATTTTGTGCATAGCAAAGAGAAATTAACGTTAAGGTGAAGGAAGAAGTTGGGTTCTTGAGCAAAACCATAAAAGCTTGGTTTGGTGGACCTCATGACTTCACATGGGGTTGTGTCGTCTCCATTATTACAACATGATTCAAAGTCCTCACGTGACAGTGGTCAGCCCCTTCAATTTTTTCTCTTTCCCCCTTTCTTTTATTTGGAAAGAAGGCATGGGACTTTGGCTGAAGTTATAAATTTTAGTAGCTACTTTCATGAAACGAGCGTGTTTGGTTTTTTCCTTTGGAGCTGCTATCCACTCCAGAAAGTCATTCTTCATTCTTTCAAATATTAATTTAATGAATAAGTAAATGGATAGAGGATACAACCTCCGTGACATCTCAGTAGTATGTTTGTGAGAAACCTTCATTCCTTTTAATTTAGACTATCACTTGTAAAAAAAAAAAAAAAAAAAAAAAAAAAAAAAAAAAAAGAGTTAAGCTATATATACACGCAATAAATGAAATAAAAAGAAAATTGGTTGCTTGCCCTAACTTGTTAGGCCAACTCATTGTTTTGTAAGACCCTTTATGTAGCTCATTCTAGTGACATGAAAATGAGTTTGAGGAGGAGTTTGTCGTGTTGGGAAGATTGAGTTCAACTATGGAGAGGAGATGACTCTCAATAATTATTATTTTTTTAATCAACTTGTGGTTAAGCACTCGATTAAGTTTTAACAGACACAAAAATGATCGAAAAAAACCTTCTTCTTTTGATTTTAATTTTTGAGAGTCACGTGGTTAAGTGATTATTTGATCCTACCACAAGAGCCTGGCTTATGATCGACCACTTCTTCTTTTCAGTTGTAACTTGCCAAAACTATAATTTTTCTAAAAATCGTACGATTGCGAAGCAATACTAGGTCTTCTTTAATTAAAATAAAAATAAATGCGTATAGCCAAACGGCTATACTATTTAGTTAAAAATAAAACAGAGCAGCAGCACAGCGCCATGCTCCCGCGAGTAAAATAGTACAGCCCAGGGGCTATACTATTTTTAAAATGAAACAAAGGACCCCTTATGAGGCGCCACGTGTCATTTCTATTAAAAAATTAAAAACACAGAGTACAGCCGATCGGCTATATTTTTTTTTTTTTTTTTTTTTTTTTAAAAAAGAAATTTATATCATTTAGGCTCCACGTGTCAAAGATAGGTATAAACATGAAAAAAGAGGACCCCTTACAAGGCGCCACGTGTCAACACAAGTTTGTTTCTCTAAAAATTTTAAAACACAGCGTATAGCCGTTCGGCTATACTATATTGTTTTTGGAAAAAAAGAAATCCCTCTATCATTTAGGCTCCGAGTGTCAAAGATAGGTATAAATATAAAAAAAGTGGAGCCCTTATACGGCGCCACGTGTCAACACAAGTCTATTTCTATAAATACAAAAAATAAAAACCAGGGTATACTATTTATTTATTTTTAAGAAAAAAAAGAAATCCCTCCATCATTTAGGCGCCACGTGTTTAAAAAAAAATTGCAAATACGTACGTATGCGTACAATACGATTATTGTATATTTATTTTTAAAAAACATATGACCTGTATAGAACTCGAATCTACTATTGAAAAATACATACGTACATATATGAGTGTATATATATATATGTGTGTGTGTGTGTGTGTGTGTAAAAGAGTATAGTTGCTCTTCTATACTATTTATTAAAGACAATTCATAAATATAAAAAAGTTAAAGCCGCCCAGCTATCCTATTTTTACAAATTAAGTAAATTAACTACTCGGTTTTTAAAAAATGTGATATATTATTGAACAATACGTACGTACATATATATATATATATATGTGTGTGTGTGTGTGTGCGCATGTATATATATGCAAAAGACTATAGTGGCCCTCATCTATACTATTTATTAAAGACAATTTATAATTAAAAACAAAAGTATAGCCTATACTATCTGTAAATAAAAACAAATGCGTATAGCCGCACGGCTATACTTATTGGCGCCACGTCTCATTTCTTTAAAAAATTTAAAAACACAGAGTATAGCCGATCGGCTATACTATATTGTTTTTTTGAAAAAAAAGAAATCCCTCTACCATTTAGGCTCCAGGTATCAAAGATAGGTATAAATATGAAAAAAGAGGACCCCTTATAAGGCGCCACGTGCAACACAAGTCTATTTCTCTAAAAATTTAAAAACACAGAGTATAGCCGTGCGGCTATACAATTTAGTTAAAAATAAAACAGAGCAACTGCACAGCGCTATGCTCCCACGTGTAAATTAGTACAGCCCCGAGGCTATACTCTTTTTAATCTGAAAAAAAGACCCCTTATTAGGCACCACGTGTCATTTCTATAAAAATTAAAAACACAGAGTACAGCCGATCAGCTATACTATTTTTAAAAAAAAAGAAATTTCTATATCATTTAGGCTCCACGTGTCAATGATAGGTCTAAACATGAAAAAAGAGGACCCCTTATAAGGCGCCACGTGTCAACACAAGTTTATTTCTCAAAAAAATTTAAAAACACAGAGTATAGCCGAGTGGCTATACTATATTTTTTGGGAAAAAAGATAGGTACAAATATGAAAAAAGAGGACCCCTTATAAGGCGCCACGTATGAACACAAGTCTATTTCTATAAATAAAAAAATAAAAACCAGGGTATACTATTTATTTTATTTAAGAAAAAAAAAGAAATCCCTCTATCATTTAGGCCGTGTTTAAAAAAAAATTTGCAAATGCGTACGTATGTGTACAATACGATTATTGTATATTTACTTTTTAAAAACATAAGACCTGTATAGAACTCGAATGTACTATTGAAAAATACATACGTTATATGAGTGTATATATATATATATATGTGTGTGTGTGTGAGTGTAAAAGAAATAGTTCCTCTTCTATACTATTTATTAAAGACAATTTATAATTATAAAAAAGTTAAAGCACCAGGCTATCCTATTTTACAAATTAAGTAAATTAACTACTCGGTTTTTAAAAAATGTGAATATATTATTGAACAATACGTAGTACATATATATATGTGTGTGTGTGTGTGTGTGTGTTGTCTGTATGCATATATATATATATATATATATATGCAAAAGACTATAGTGGCTCATCTATACTATTTATTAAACACAATTTATAATTAAAAATAAAAGTATAGCCTATACCATATGTAAATAAATAAAAAAAAATGAGTATAGCCGAACGGCTATACAATTTAGTTAGAAATAAAACAGAGCAACTGCACAGCGCAATGCTCCCGCGTGTAAAATAGTACAGCCCCGGGGATATACTATTTTTAATATGAAAAAAGGACCCTATTAGGCGCCACGTGTCATTTCTGTAAAAATTAAAAAACGTAGAGTATAGCCGTTCGGCTATACTATATTGTTTTTTGAAAAAAAGAAATCCCTCTGTCATTTAGGCTCCACGTGTCAAAGATAGGTATAAATATGAAAAAAGAGGACCCCTTATAAGGCGCCACGTGCCAACACAAGTCTAATTCTGTAAAAAATTAAAAACACGGCCTATAGCCGTGCGGCTATACTTAATTTTTTTGGGGAAAAAAAAGAAATCCCTCTGTCATTTAGGCTCCACGTGTCAAAGATAGGTATAAATATGAAAAAGAGGACCCCCTTATAAGGCGCCACGTGTCAACACAAGTCTATTTCTCTACAAAATTAAAAACAGAGTATAGCCCATCGGCTATACTATATTTTTTTTGGGAAAAAAACTAAAACATTTGGATATTATTGGGTTGAATAGAAAAAGCATTTCATTTTTCTGTCTCCCTTGTTCACAAAACCTTTGATTTGTCCATTCATCGGATGAAAGAATGTAGATCCTTCAGTATTCAGTGGATGAGTCAACTGAGCATGTTCTTTCTATTCATCCTGGAGGCTGGACTTTACCAGTAAAGTTCTAGTTTCACCAAGAGCAGGATATTCATGCATCTGTTGGATACAATTCTGCAGAAAGTTGTGGAAAAAAAGATGTAACATATTTGAGGGATGATACTTCTAGCTGTTCTTCAAGCAGTTATCTAATTCTAGTTGCTTGGTTGCTTGCTTGGTTGATGGTTGATGGCTATACGATTTCTTTTAAAAAAGGTCTTGAATCTAAACTATTTCTTAAAAATAAAAAATAAAAACCGAGTCTAGCCGAGCGGCTATACTATTTCTTTTAAAAAATATTTGAAAAAACTCAGTATAGCTTTCATTTAACAAAATCAGAAAAAACCAAGTATAGCCGCGGCTACACAATTTCTTTTTAAAAAAATTGAAAAAGCCCAGTGCTATACTATTTCTTTCACATTATCACAATATAGATAGAGTCTCAACAAAGAAAAGAAAAAAATCTCTTATGTACGGCTGAGATGTGTGTGAGAGTGACTAAAGTGCATCTCAATCGTTGCTATATATATATATATATGGTTCAATAATTGGCATTCAAGTTTTTAGTTAGATTATCAACTTCTTTTTCATAGAGAGATATTCTTACCCCAGATAGCTAAAACTCCCACAAACTTGGTCAGTGTGAAATTTACAAAATTACCATATAAGTTGTACAAAATTTCCAATTAGGGTAAAATGAGGTGCGCATAACACTTTAGCAGGTGCATCTAGTAGAAAAAGCATACCCAATTCTAATAGAAAATCCAACCAGATTTTGGGTCTTCACACAGTAACCAAGTAGTGTTACAGCACATCCAAAGCCTGCCAAGGAATATCCCCCTCCAAGTGGACAGTGTTGTGCACGAGCTCCTATAGCGCGTGGGCTCTCCATAAACAAAAAATGAAAATTAAAAAGATCAAATTTTCTATTTTTGCTGTGGAAAGTAAAAAAAAATCGTTACCGTCAGTGTTTGTGTTCTTCACTGATCTATGTCATTTTTTCGAAGGTAATTATTATGCAGTCGTACGTTGATCCAAACAATGTGAATTGTGGAATATCTTTTCGATTCCAATTGGGTTCATTTATCGTCTGTTTGGTCACTGAAAATCAAGAAGGAAAAGGACATGATATTTCAAAGCTTGTATCTGAATTGCTTTAAATCATCTCGAAAAAGTAGAAATCTTTAAAAAACACAGCGTATGACCGCGCGGCTATACTATTTTAATATTTTATATTTCAACAATATAGCCCCCCGGCTCTACTATTTATTAAAAAAAGAAAGAAAGAAGACCTAGTATTGCCATGCAGTTGTACTATTTTTTAGAAAAATTATTATTTTGGCAAGTTACAACTGAAAAGTTCTGCCATTATATAATATTTTATAATAATTTATTGTAATATTTTAATATATATTATTTTTAATCATGTGGAAATTATGTCTATAATACATGAAGTTTGTGTGTATTATTGAAAATTTCGTAAAAAAATACGTGTATTAAACATTAAAAACATGTATGTACATGTATTTTAAGTTTGCTTTTAAAAAAAAACTTGTATTTTATAGAGCCTTTTAAATGTGTATGGAAAATAGAAGTATTATTGAAAAATACATATATACGTGTATAATACGAGTATTAAACGGGACAATACTAAATTATTATACGCATAATAACTCTAGAAAAATAAAAAATAAAAAAGGGACAATAGAGACTTGGGTAATTTCCTAGCAATGAATAATGCTCTAAACTCTTATTTAAAAACGAAAAATCAGAAAAATTAGTTGAGTTTATTTCTTAATTTTGCACTTGGGGAAAAGGTCTGTACCTTTTGAATAGGTAGAAAAGCTGAATTAGGAGGATTATAATTTGATAAGCATCTTGCGTTGGAAGATGATGGGCAGACAGGTTTTTGTATGTACCTTCACATTTGATCAAAATGCTTGTACAAATTCCAAAGAGAAAAAAACTTGTATGTACCTTCACATTTGACTGGACCTTTTGGAATAACCAATAACTCCAAAAAAACAATGAAATATATTCCAAATGATAATAAAAGGTATTTCATGAAAACTATTTCCCAACATTTCGAAACATGGTAACGAAATTTTTTCATTCCTAATAATAAAAAAAGACACTGTAGATCATAAGACTAGATTGTGAAGCATACCCAAAAACAATTATAAAATGCTCTAAATTACATACTTATTTGTGCTTGAATATTTCTTTCTATAAGAACTCATATGATCTCTCTCTCTCTCTCTAGCTCAAGTAGTATCAAGGTAGGGTGAAGAAGTGGTCGATCATAAGTCATGGTCTTGTGGTATTTGTGTCTGTTAAAACTTAATCGAGTGCTATGTCCTGCAAAATTCACATTAGCAAATGCTCTATTTATGTTCTTCCAGTTCTAGTTGACAGTACATGAATTCTAGTACATTCCATTAGGCAAAAATATCCTCGGTGACAAATGATTGTTCATGATCAATACAGTTTTCATTTGAAAATTGAAGCTGCTCGTAACTTAGCTGTCTGGAAGCTTCATACAAAGCAATGCCAACACTTACAGAGAGATTCAGACATCTCACATAAGTTTCAACCATTGGAATCCTAATGGTCCCACCGCCAAATGTTTCACTTTTGCAATCTTGGAGGACTTCAGGTGGTAGGCCAGAGGTTTCTGAGCCAAATATGAGAAAATCACCTCTTCTGTAAGAAAAATCCTGAAAAGTTGAACTAGTGTAGTCAGTTTCAAATACTTATTTCATTGGCCAGCCAACAGTGTTATGTCAACAAAAACAGGAGTTGCTAAAATTTCAGTTTCATGACAAGAAACGGGCAGTGCGAATGGCACTCTCCAGTATTCTTCTGTACTTTAGTATGGGGAGTGCAAATACATCTCCGCACTAAAGTAAACGAGTACTTTGGAGGAGCGTGTGCAACGCTCCGCTAAGAGAGAGTAATTATATAAAAGAAAGGTGACAAAGCCTTCGTGAAAAAATACATAAATTCTTATCACAAAAGAGGATTATCTTGAGACATTCCAAGTAGATCCAAACACTGCAATAGTCCATGGTTCATATCGGTGAAAGAAGTAATATTATGGTCTGAAAAGGGAATAAATTGTTTACACTTTTTTAATATTAGAGAAGCATATTGTGGAAAGTGTTTTGGCAGCATGACTATTGTCAAATTGACAGCCTATCAGTTCGCATGATCTCATGACAGTTAATGGGATGTAGCCATCAATGACCACCAAACATTGAAATTCAGTATCGCTTTCTATGTGAGTGACCAAGTATCAAAATTTACCAGCCAACGGCTCACGAGCATGCTGCATCCTTTCTTCCCAAGTTTAATGGAATAATGGACAAATGTAAAAGACTCTAAAAGATTCGAGGAAAGAAAAATGAAAATCGAGTGTATGAAATGCAATTACTGCGACAATTTATAACATATTAGATCGACTGGCCAATGTCACAAATAAAAGACATCTACATAAGAAAAAAAATTTCATTGTTCAAGTCAGGTTTGATTCAGAACATTGATGTTTACCAAGGAACCCAAACCAAGAATGATTAAGCTCTCTTCCTAAAAGCAAAGAGCAGACAAAAGTTATCGCTGCTGGTTTGATTGTTATGAAGATTTATCAGGATAAAATACTGAGGACGGTGAGACTGAAATGGCAATAACTTACTGAATGAAACTTGTTCCTCTCTTGTAAATGCGAGCAACCGCTTTTCACCATCCTGTAGTCATAAAGGAACAGAGAGTGGGAAAAAAATGTCAAAGGAAAAACTATGAGAAAGGCCTCCAAAATCCATTCTTTGACACTTGAAGATGGCCAAACCTGTTGCCTGAAATAGTCTTGGAACTCTGCCCATGAGCTGTGAACTTTAACAACCACATATCTAAAATTGGAAGTTAATTGTTAAAAATAAGCAGAATTTTCATGTGAAATTAAAAGCATCAAGAACATTGATTATACAACAAGTAAACATAGTAAAACTGTGTAAAGCCATTGGGAATTGGAATTTACATAACTGAACCAGTCAAGATCACTTCAGCAGTGTCAAGAAACAAAGGCATGCATGCAAAACCAGAATATGCTGCCTAGAAGTGTATCTTGGAAGAAAATTAAAAAAGGAGGGTGAGTCAAAGTAAGATGAGGAAATGACGTGCATTTTACAGTAATGATAAAACCGTTGATATCATGGCTTTCAGATTTATGTATGTGCATGGCTAATTCACAGATTAAAAAAAAACATCATTCCGAAATTCTATTTTGACTAAGTACTCAATAAAGTTACAGAAGAAATTAACTACTTAACATTATCTTTTGATAAGAAACACGAAACAACATATTTAACATATACTAGGAATTGTTAGGATACGGCCAATAGTCCAATCCAGCTCGCTTTAACTTCGCATCATCAACCTTGAATCCTAATGGCTAATGAAGAACAAAAGCATGTTAAGTGACTAGTATAGGACAATTGTTTTTTCTTTTTTCTTATCTCACCTATAAAGAATAGAATAAAGATTAAAGGGAAACTGAACGCAAATAGACAATAAATACCCCAACTAGGTGAAGTCCAACAGCTGATGCTGCACATGTTCTGGCAATGCAACCTGTATTTCCAGGAATCTGCCAAGGACAATAGAAATCTCAGAGCCAGCCTCATGAAATTGAGAGATTCGTGACCTAAAGGAAGAGGTACAGAAATTATACTCTTTGAGTCACCACATTTTCCAGGAACCGAAAAGTTTGGGTAAGATTAGAAGAACTTAATATAAAAAGAATAGGTAAGATGCGGAAGTGCCATGCACAATTAGGATTTCAATATACCCTTTTTTTCATGTAAATAACTGAGAGTTCACGAAAAGAAAAGTTCTCAATGTAATCCTACCAGTGTCCATGGTTACTAAAATAATCATTCCCACAATTGGGAACACATCATTGGGAAAATCCATAGCAACAAACTCAGGTAGGCAGTCGGACCTATTTACGAATTTTGAGCTCATTATCAACCAACAACAGCCTCCAACAACAAAATGAGTTAATCCTCACATTTTCTTAACAAGGAGGTTTAAACCATCCAAGATCGAATTAGCATCATGCTTACAGACCCTGATGAATCGAAAATACGGTTATTACTCAATCTATCATTGTTAGTATTTGATGCATTTAGAAAACCACTTGTGCACAAATTACTCAAAACACAGATTCATCCCACCCATTATTCCACTAACAATGCTGTTGCTTCTCAATGTAACAACAATGGATACAATTTATCCCAGTGAGTCATAGATACACACACTAGATCATATTTCGATATAATGAAAAGCCAAAAGCAAAATTATATAAGAAAGTTACCCAGTTCTTAAATAACTGTGAATTTAAGTTAGCCACCCTAAAAATTTGTACTTGGTACCTGAGGAGACACTAGAACCACTTGAAGAATCTTGTTTTGTGAGACTTCCTTCGCTGCTTCCACTACCCCAAGCTCTTTGCCCCCATCAGCTGCACCATAATAAAACACATACCCACCATTAAATCACTGACAATAAAGACAACATATCGTTACATTTATACTCTATATATATATACACAGAGAGAGAGAGAGAGAGAGAGTACTGAGAGAGCAGAGGGCAGAGAAACGAGTGGAGTGCAGAGAGAGGCGGACTTTGCGGTTGACATGAGCCAAGTACAGAGAACCAAAGAGAGGAGCTTTTGTTGAGCGCATTCGGAAAGGAGAGAAAGGGGTTAGGATTCTCAAACTGCTTGCGTCCATTGGCTTATTATGTCTATCGGCGGCTATGGCCTTCCCACTTTCTTTGCTTCTTTATCTTACCTTTGCTCCACAGTCGACAGAGAGTTTAAACTCTTTTTCTTTTGGTTCGAAGCACATCGAAAAATAAAAAGGAAAAAAACTGAATTATAAATTTATAAGTTAATGGGCCAATTATTCTGAAAGAAAAATTGAAAATTAGCTCCAAATTCTGGGGAGATTTCGACAGTTAGTTTGGTTGTCAAAGTTAAGGAAGGGTGAGATTTCGACAGTTTACTCTTTAATTTAAGGGTTGGAATGGAAGAAAAAGGAGAAAGGATAAGGGGTGGGATAAGTATATATTTAAGTCCATTTTAATATGACATATTATATAAAAGGGTTTTTAACTTTGCCTCAAGTTTCAATTAGGTCTTGCAACTTTTTTTGAGGCAATTACATCCGTTAACTCGAGAAGTAGTTCCAATTAGGCCATACTGTCCAAGTCTATCAATTTGTTCGTCAAAATGAAGGTTAAAAGCGTCCTTTCGAGTTCAAAAGTCTCCTAAGCTGACCTAGTCAACCTCCCTCCATAAGTTGTTAGATATCTCCAAAAAAAGAAACCCTACGCGAGCTCAGTATCCCAATTCACACCTTAAGGTAAAATGTCGGAGAGTTCTACATATTCAAATCACAGCCGTTGTTACTGCTAGTCTGGGATGGAAATCAAAAGTCGGGCTTACAGTAATGTAACAAGCCGATTGCATCATTGTTTCTCTCTCTCTCTCTCTCTCTCTCTCTCTCTCTCTCTCTCTCTCTGTTTTCGATATGGCCTATGTTTGGGCCTCTTGTCCTATGTTTTGGGTCTGGTTTGTTATTTGAAGGGACCTTTATTTTAGGCATTTCCACTAATTACTGTTCTTTAAAATTTGTTGAGAGTAAGGGCTTGTTTGGGAGTGCTTCTTCTCGAAGCGCTTATGCTAGTAGCACTTATGACATAAGCTCTTCTTTAAAGAAGCAGTTTATTGTTTGGATGTCACATTTAAAATTGTTTTCCCAAAATATTATAGTAAACATAGGAAATAAAAATTCACAGGATCCCAAATAAAAACACGTCTTAAAAAGTTGTGAAATGTAAAGATAATGATGGATTAATAGAAGCTTAAGGGTTTCCATGGGTGTTTTGGAGTTGTATGGGCCTTTTTCTTCTGGCAGCTACAAATGGGTTGGGCTGCCGTAAGAATCAAACTGAAGAAAATATCCACTTTGTTTGAGTTCAAAGATCAGACCCCAAAATGCTTTGAAAGGATAGCAAAGCCTTAAAAAACACCTTGGTTACCTTCACCAACAGAAAATAATGGTTGTTTATAGATAAATTCTCAATTCTTACAGGTAAGATCTTAGCTTGGCATGACAAGCTTGTGGCATGAGAGAGAAAGTTGCCATGAGTTTAGCACTAAAGAGAAAATTAAGTGTTCCTAGGGAAAAGTTGGGGTATCAAGGTGGGAGAGAAAGGGTTTTGCAAAGAGGTTTGGTTGAGAATGAGGGAAAGAGAGAAAAGAGTGGCTTGAGCTTTTTCCGGCAGCTTGACAGAGGTTCTGTCAAGTTAGAATAGCCTACCAAGAAGGGAAAACAAGGAAGAAGGAGATGAGCTAATCACAAAATTTGCTAGTTTTGAAAGTAAGAGAGGAAGCTTGCTTTCTGGTTGTGGATGATTTTCATTGGGTAGAAGAGGCTCTATTTATAGCCGCTGGAAGCCATCTTTTCCCAAGAAACCCTAATGGCTTCCATCCCATTTTGCCAAGTCTTTCCCTTCCTTTCTCCCCTCATCCCTTCAATCATCATATTTTGGTGAAATCTACTCTGCTCTTTTGCACAAAATCAGGGATTTGGGAGCTCAAGGTCCCTTTCCCGCAGCTGCCCTAGTGAAGAGTTCCTATTTTCAAATATCTCCCTTCTCCTCTTTCCTTCCCTCTTTCATGGTCAGATCTGAAGAAGGAAAGAAATGGGTATACATGCTGGTTCGAAGGGTGGCTCCTTGCTCACCAATATCTTTTGGTCCATTGGATATTTTGCTTGAAAACTTGTTCCTTCCTTCCCAACAGCTTACGTGGTCTTCCAAGCTCCTCCATGGCTTTGTCTTTCAACCAAATGCTGAAACCTTTGCTGCTTCTTACTTCTAATTGTATGGGTTTTCTAAGATGGCAAGTCAACCTACCAAACAAATGGGCTAATCTCCTCAAGTTTTGGGCTATATTGGTTAATTTTAGTGGACCATTTTGGTTGGGCTTTTTGGTTGGGATATTTTGATTGGGATATTTTCTCTCTTGTGTTTACCTACATTTTTTGGGCCTAAGAAATGGGCATGAGTTTCAAGGCTCCCAAGCGACCTAAAACTTCCATTTCTTGGTCCGTTAATGGGTCTAATGACAACTCCTTACCATCCATACCACAACCCACTCAAGCAAGCCCCAAATATTTGAGTGGCTTGGGCCCACTTAGGCTTGTAGCGTGGTTGGGTGTGACATAATAATTTACCTTTTGGCATGGCATGTTGCTTGGCATGTTTTTTAATTATGATGCTTGACGGGATAATTAGCATGGATTTGTAGAACGAACGCATTTTATAATCTTAATCTCGATTCCTAGTACGATGGATTATTTATGAGAAGTCTAATTTGTGCATGGCAAATCTTTGCGTGCTCCAAGTTGGGCATTTTCTGAATAATCCATCATTTTGGGCCAGGAATTTATTCAGGCTCAACTGGGGATTTTTTGGGTCTCAACATGAGTCTGTTGACCTTTTTGTGGATAGTTTTTTGATTTTAATAGGAGAAAAAAAGAAGAAGAAAGAAAGGGTATTTTGGCATTTAAAAAAAATTAAATATGGATATTTTCTGCATTTTAAAAGTTTCATTAAAGGGAGTCAAGTGCTTTCCTTGTTTTTGTCATGCAATGCTTTTAAGAAGAAGTACCTCTCAAGTGCTTTTTCCAAAACCAGTGCTTTTGGATATCAACCAAAGCGCTTTTGTAATTTTTGCCACGCACCATTTTTAAAAGACAACAACGCTTTCATATATTTAGAAGCGCTTTTTGCTGCTCCAAAAGCACTCCCAAACGAGAAAATAGAATGAGTAGAAATAGGGCCACTTTTTATTTTATTTTTATAAGCAATATTTAGAGTAAAACACATCAACTATCGCATTTATGCCGCTTAAAATACAGTCCATTTAAACATTTTCATAATAAAAGCCAAAATTAAAAATCTTAAATACATTTTTTTATATAAGCGATAATTTACTTTAAACTAAGGACACTACTTACCTCTTTATCGGTAAAGAGATACTCCACCTTTATGCGAATAACAGTTTGATACATATATAAAATAATTCATCAAAAACACAAAAAGAAAAACTTTTGTATACATGTCACACTGCTACTAGCAGGAATGTAGAAGCTTCTACTTATCGGGTAAGGAGAGAAATATTTTCTTAACTAATCCAAACTACATGAGGGGAATTCGAACTCAAATGCAATCAACTTGGCTTAAGCCATGTATGAAAAAAGAAAAAAAAATCTTAAATACATTTTTGGTGGTAGAATATGTTTTCATAAACTTTCTCGAATAGAAAAATTAATAAATTAGGAAAACAAAAAAAAAAAAAAACAAAAAAAAAAAAAAACTCCAAAAAAAAAAAAAAAAAAAAAAAAAAAAAAAAAAAAAAAAAAAACTCGAAAATTAAGTCTACATAAGGAACACGAACACACTGTGCCAAAGCCAAGCGGTCTTCGCTTTCTCGTTCTCTAAGCAAATAGAGAGAGGGTCTCGGATTCCAATCCCTAATTAGGCAAATCGTGTTTCCAATTGACCAATCGGAGGAAGATCAACGATCTGAAATTGAATCTGTTCATTCTGGTTAGTTTACAGTTGGTTACTCCATTATTGATTCCGTTTCGTTTTGGCTTTTTCGGATTGATTCGTGGTGTTTTTCTGTGTTTGGTACTGCTGTGGCGAATTGGGGTTTGAAGTTTCCTTTTTCGCATTAGATGGAGAGGCAAAATGATTTTAATTTGAAATTTGATTTTGGTTTTAGGGTTTGTGTTTTGCTATATCAGTTTGGCTAGATTCGTATGTATGCAAGGTGCATAATAGGATTGTGTTGATTATTGAGCCTAATTGAATTCGACAATGCTATGATGATTAATTTGGTTGTTTTCTTGAAATATAGATTTTTTATTTAGATTAAAGGAAAATTAATAGTAGACTAGACAAACAAAATTGAATACGGAAGTGGTGGAAGGTGCCGCTGAGTAAGTTGTATTCCTATTATGGTCGCGAAACCTGGGATTATGCATTAATATTTCTAAGAGGACAGTTTTTGTTACCTTCTAATCATGAAGATTGTTAGCTTAAGTTTCATTGAACACGGGTGTGTAGAAGATTATTCTCTTGTACCATCCATTCAATCACTTAAACTTTTGGGAGATCAAGTATCATCTACATCAGTTTCTTTTGATGTTTATATAAGTGATTGAACAAATATCACCTGAGGTCTGGGAATTGGCATCAGTTTTCTGACTCAGTAGATCCAGTTATTTATTTTAAATTTCACTCGGGATATCTACTGCTTTTGAACTTCCCACTCATAAAGCTGTGTGGATATAAGCAGTGTGGTTGTTTCTGAAACCAAGGCCCAGTCACGGCATTTTGCCAAAATGTGGGATTATCTCTCTTTTTTTCTTTTTTCCTTTTTTCATCGTTCGAGTTATAATTTGCTTTTGGAGACGTAAAAATTATCTCATACAATGCTGTATATTAATAGACAAAAAATTGAAAGATCAGATAAAAGAATCACTTCAATGTCTAAATTCTTTGAAAGCTTACTTGTCAAACAGTGAATTCCTGTTAACAGCCTAAGCAAACTTGGATCTTTTCCAATGGACAAAGGAGTGACTCCTAGCCTCTTTGTTAATGATGGTTCATTCATGGAAAGGTTCAAACAACTTCAACAAGAGAAGGAGAAAGATAAGGGTCCTACAGCAGACGAGTCTACACCAAGTAAAGTTGTATCAGGGAGTTTGACTCCTAACCTTACCACTGGTAAAACCAGTGCTGAACTGAAGCCTAATGATACACGCAAGGCCACAGCTGCTGCTTCAGGTGGCAAACTTGCGTTCAGCTTGAAACAGAAGTCAAAGGTTGTGGCACCTCCTGTTAAGTTAGGTGCAGATGAGGATGAAGATGAAGCAGATGCTGCAAATTTTTCAGCCGATGCACCAACAAAACGACAAAAGTTGGGTCAGCCAGATGCCTCAGAGGAATCACCCGGACAAGTGGATGTTGGTAATTACTGCTTTTATGCATATCCTTTAACTTGGTTGATTGCAGTGAACGGTGTTTACAGTTTCAGTTGATTTTTTAGAACATAATTTGAGACATCGACTTTTGCTTTTCCTCCAATAATTTTATCCACGGGTTATTTAGCAAGTTTTTCATATTTTGCACAAGATATGTATATTGCATTCTACAGACAATGATGTATAGCAGAAAGTGATTATTTTTCGTATATCTAGTCCTGATGCTTTAACTGTTGAATTTAACTCAACTGCTCCTTTATCATACAAACTTTTCCTGCCTTTCACCTTATTGTAAATAGTTACCCTAAACCCTAAATTTTCTTCTTGACTCGTGTTAAAAAATAAAAAATCCTGCATCTCATTCTCTACTTCTATGATTTTGAAGTTATAAAATATGAAGCGACGGTATTGGCTGTTGGTTGCTATTCTTTAATTTTTGTGATTCATGTTGATGTTTTATCTCTTCCCCAAGATGAGATTTTGTTTAATGTTTTCTTCACATACGTAAGATGGGTTGGAGTCTAGCCAATGTTCTCAGTCTGATGGATTTCTTGTATCCAGAAAGGGCTAGTGAACTTTTTTTTCTTTATATGTGGTATCAGGAGCTATTTTACCACTCTTTTTGGTTTGCTAGTTGAGAAAAAGGGATGTGTAGGAGGACTGTTAGGTGTTCTTATCTTTCTGAATCTTTTTTTAAAATATAAAGTAAATTTAGGCCAATAAAAATAATTGAAGTAAATCGAAATTGTCCCTCCGGTAAATACCCTGTTATTGAGAAAATCATCTCAGTAATTGTCTTCTCTACTCTTGAAGTGGTGTGGATGAAGAGGACAAAACATTCTTGAATATTTCTTGTCTCATGAATGCAGCTTATTCCTTAAGTTCCTATCAACATTGGTGGAAAGAGATGTTCAATGAAAGAATTGGAATATGTGGCACGCCTGCTACAAGAGTAATTTGCATTCCCTTGTTCATGCTCTCGGTATTAATCAGTTTTATAAGTGATATGCAGCACCACCTTCCCCAAATGATTCAACAGTGAAGATAGTTGCTGACAAACTAGCAAGTTTTGTGGCTAGACATGGAAGGAAATTTGAGCATATTACACGTCAAAGAAATCCAGGAGATACCCCTTTCAAGTAAGTACATTATGAAGTTTAAATTCAATTATTTTTTCTGTTATGTCCAATCTGTCTGTTGTCATTTATGAAATGCAAAAGGAGAATGATTCACTATGGATATAGGTTTTGGGTATCATTTTCTTTATTGTATTTTCTGGTTTGGCTCTTCCTGCCACTTATGGTAGCTCATATGCTCTATGCATTGGCATTTTATTTTGTTTGCAGATTTTTATTTGACGAGAGCTGTGCTGATTACAAATATTATGAGTATCAGCTTGCCATTGAAGAGAAAGTCCTGCAACAGACCAGCGATTCTCAAACATCTCGTAATGGTTAGTATTTGTGCATGTAAATCTGTGATGTGAGTGTATTTGTACTTGTCACAAAGGATTAGGATTTTAGTTTCGGTTGATTGGCCAAAATTTCGGCCAAATAGTGTTACCAACATTTGATAGGGGGGAAGCTTTATTTGTCACCTATGCTGCCTGATATTTCACTGTAACTTCTGTAATATTGGTAGTATCAGCCAATTTTGGTATATTGGTACAATTTGTGTCACTCTGGGTTGGTTTTTACCGATAGTTTACTGAAATTCTGGTTTTCAGACTGTATAATATACAGCAAACGGCTGCAGTCTTTTTTTTTTGGCTTCATATTTCCACCAGTATTGATTGTTTTCACTGAAATATATATAGCTTTCTTTAGTTTGATTCCTGCTTGTTACAGTTGTAGACCTCCTAACATTCCTTGTCCATGATAGGCTGATGAACCTAGATTTTGCTTAATATCTTATATAATACTTTTGTTTACCGAAAGTGATTTGTTTGAGTCTGCAATATTGAGAGTTCTTGCCTGGATTGTGCAACACTATTGTTTGAATAGCTTTTTCATTGACGAGAAACTATAAATCTTGTGTAAATTTTTTTTTGGTGTGCCTTCCCATGTCCTAATAATTTAGCATAGGTTTTAAAATTTGGTTTTATTATGGTTACTTCTTGAAAATCTCTGTTTTGATTGAATTCTACTTGGTCTTAAGAAATTTAACACTATCAGATTGTCAATGGGTGGTGGGCTCTCTTTGACGTCCTTATGTGCTTAGGACTCCTAGTATTCTTCCCACTGTTGAGATTTGATATCCATTTTTGTGATCCATAATGTATAAATCTGGAATATTATTTTTAGATATGTATCACTCCTTAGCAATCTTCTTTAACCGTTGTTGCCCTTATTCTGTAAAATTAGTTTCTTTTTAGACTCAAATTTTGGGTTGTTACCGTGTGTAGGAGGTACAAACACGTCCGCTTCCAAATCCACAAGTAGTTCCCAAAGGTCTACTTTGAAGCATCCAAATTATCAAACTCCTGCCTCTGCTTTATATGACGCCACTGAGGGAAGGACAGGTATACGATATAACATCTTCTGTTGCTTTTCAGTGTTTTTTGCCCCCTTCGATTTTTAGATATGGTTAATGTTTCAGTTCATGTATTCAGAAACAACTATATAATTTGTTTGTAATTTGGTATGTGATGGGGAGCATATTGTTATAGTGATTCACTTTCTAAAACCCAAATTCTGCTGGTGTTTTTTATTTTTTGTAAGCTTACGTTTTGTAGTGGCTATATTATATTGTTAGACAATTTAAACACAGTTGTGCCAGTAATTCCTTTGCTGGAATGTCTGGATTTCTCTATGTCTGTATTTGTACTGTTGTATTCATTGAACTATTTAGGGACTACTGATTGGGTTTTTCTGCTTGGTCCTGAATTTACTACTTGTATCTGCAATCATAGGTGAGCTCACTGCGCCAACAGGTGCAGATCCTATTGCCATGATGGAGTACTACGTGAAAAAGGCTGCTCAGGAAGAGAGAAAGAGACAACCTAAACAGTCGAAAGATGAAATGCCCCCACCTGCTTCTCTTCAAGGTTCATATTTGTTACTGATGGAAACCAGAAATTGCATATAGTTATTCGGAAACATTTTTATATTTTAGCTCTATTTTTGGGTCAGATAGATGCAAATACATGGTCTCAAGATGTTTTTTTTTCTTCCCTATTTTCTTAACAGCACCTTCTCTTAAAAAAGGTCATCACATGGGTGATTACATCCCACAAGAAGAGCTGGAGAAGTTTATGGCCGCTTGTAATGATGCAGCTTCACAGAAAGCTGCCAAAGAAGCTGCAGATAGGGCAAAAATCCAGGCGGATAATGTGGGTCATAAACTTTTGTCTAAAATGGGTTGGAAAGAAGGTTGGTCATAAACTCTCGTAATGGTATCCAGAAAATAGATTATTCTTTGAATTTATTGCCAGATTTTCAGTGATCAGTCCTTTCTACTACGGTGATGCATTGTTTTTCAAAGGGAGAAACCTAATGATGTAAGTGAATTCAGGTGAGGGTCTGGGGAGCTCTAGAAGAGGAATTTCGGATCCAATAATGGCTGGTAATGTGAAGAAAGACAATCTGGGGGTTGGTGCTCAACAACCCGGAGAAGTGACTCCTGAAGATGATATATATGAGCAGTATAAGAAGCGGATGATGCTTGGTTACCGATACAGACCCAATCCTCTGGTAATTACCTTTTTCTCCTTTTGTGTGTTTTTCCATGTTTGGCATTAGAAGTATAAAGAAATTTTCTCATCTTCTTGTTATCTCTGACTTTCTGATACGTTTTCTGGACTTTTTGGGTTGCAGAACAATCCACGGAAGGCATATTACTAAAGGATTGGTTATACCGTGCTATATCTGTGAGATTCGTTGTCTGAAGTTCATTGGAAGTTAAACTACCTTATGGGGTAAAAGGAGATTTTGATAGGTTAATTTGGAATTAAATTTGTATCTGAAGTCTGTTTTGTGAATTAATTAATAAACACTGTTTATCATCTTTCTTTTCATCAAAGATATTTATTGAGCAGAACAAATGGCATTTTCACTATATGCATTTTGTTGATCAATGCATCAGTCTAGAAGGGGGCGGCCAACATTTGCTTATGTTCACGTAGATTGTTCCGGCCGATAACCGATCTGGATGCTAAAGTTATATTATGCCTGCAGTTCACATTATTGATCTAAACAACCCTTTCATTATTCTGGGCTCTTCAATTACAAAGATGAAGATGAGGATTTAAGATCTAATTTAATTTCCAACATGATGACCAAGTACTGTTGCAAAATCCAAACAGCTGTCACCCTCTCAATAAACGAGTTGGCTTTTGTGATCATGGAAAAAATTCTTTGAATAGTCTTGAATCATTGTTACATTGAAAAGGGGTCTCCTCTCCCTTTTTTGTTTTTGTTTTTTCTTACTTTGTAGGATTTTTTTTATATAAAAAAGGTCAAATCTTGATTGGCGCTTTGTGGCTCTGGTTTGGAGGGAAATCATATTTTCTTAATGATGTTGATGTACCTCTCTTGTGTTTGGAGACCTCTCTTTCAAAAACTTAGAATTACCCAAGAAAACTTAGTTTTAATCCAAGAGCAGTTGTCTCAAAACCCCTACGACCCTTTTCTGTTAGACAAAGATTTCAATCTAAACATGGAGTTAAAACTTTTGCTTGATTAAGAACAGGTTTTCTATGCCCAAAAAGCTTGATTAAGAACAGGTTTTCTATGCCCAAAAAGCTAGAACTAACTTACTTCAATTGGGTGACAAAAACACCAAATATTAGGGATCTTGATGGTCTTTGGGTTGAGGGTGATATCCTTCCTAATGCTTTTATTAAGGCTTTTAAGCTTAGATTTACGGCTGAGCAGGCCCCCAACCACCACTTGATGTTTGAATTCCTCCAAGTGATTGAGCCTTGTGTCACCAGTTCAGATAATGAGAATCTCTTGGCTCCTGTCTCAGATTTTGAATTAGAGTGTGCTATTAAGAGTATAAAGCCACTTAAAGCTCCTGGGCCTGATGGTTTACATGCCGTTTTTTTACCAGAAGTGCTGGGACAACACTAAACACATGGTGAAAAACCTAGTCAATGATTTTATTTCCAATAATATTCCCCTGTAGGACATTAACCACACTAATATAGCCCTCATTCCTGAAGTAGCCTCTCCTGAATCTGTTAACCATTTTAGGCTGATTAGTTTATGCACTGTCTCTTATAAGGTCATCACTAAAATCCTTGTTAGTCGACTGAGGCCTATTCTATAGAAGTGCATATCCAGAAACCAGGGAGCCTTTGCCCCAGGGAGATCCATTTTTGACAATATTCTTATTGCTCATGAGCTGTTCCATGATTTTAAGCTTAAGAAAGGTTCTCGGGGTGCTAGTGGCTATCAAGCTTGACCTTGAAAAGGCTTATGATTTGCTTGATTGGGAGTACATTAGAGGTTGCCTGTCTCAATATGGCTTTAGCATTGATTGGTGTGATTGTATTATGAATTGTGTTTCTAGCACTTCTTTCTCCATGATGATTAATGGTTCTCCCTATGGACACTTTAGTGCTTCTAGAGGAATTCGCCAAGGAGATCCTATATCTCCTTACATCTTTATTTTATGCATGGAGCCTTTTATTAGGCAATTCAATATTCTTGCTCAAAATCCTAAAACAAATGTGGGTCTCCTCTCTTCCCATGGAGGCGACCGGATCTATAACTTGGTTTTTGTAAATGACTGTCTTATTTTTGCAAGGGCAATTGCTGTGGCTGCTAGAAATACCAATTACTTATTTGAAAATTTCTGCCAAAATTTCAGAACAGAAAATCAACCTGCATAAGTCCACCGTCTATTTTTCTGGTAATGTCCATTCTCAAGCTAGAAATGCTCTAAGCAACCTCTTGCAGATAAAACATAAGACCACTCTAGGTCGTTACCTTGGCATACACAATATTATTTTTTGGAATGACCTAGCTAATTCCAAGATGATGACAGATAGAATCCGTTCCAAATTTGCCGGTTGGAAGGCCCAAACTTTATCTAGGGCTGGTCGTCTCACCTTAATCAAGGCTAGTGTTTCGGGTATCCCAAACCACATTCTTTCCTGTTTCAAATGCCCAAAAGAAGTTTGCAAGGAAATGAATTCCTGCTGTATACGTTTCTTCTGGGGTAATGGTTGTAAAGTCCCCCCTATTGCCTGGAAAGACATCTGTTTGCCTCAAAGTTTAGGGGGTCTCGGGGTCAGATCTGCTACGCACTTTAATAAGGCGGCTTTAGCAAAGCTAGGTTGGATTTGCTTAAATGATTCTTCTAATTGGTGGGCTCAGATTATGGCCAAGAAATACTTAAAGAAGGATTGCTTCCTCTAGGTTGCAAAAAAGACTTCGCATTCTTCAACTTGGAAAGCCATCCTTGATGCGCATTCTGTGCTCCACAAAGGAAGATGGATTGTTGGTAATGGTCAATCCATTCCTTTTTGGACTGCTAATTGGGTCTTTCCTTTTCCGTTGTTAGATTTAATTCCAGTCTTTCTTAGAAATAACCTCAATTTGAATGTTAAAGTGTTAGATTTCATTCAAAATCAGGTTTGGCAACGTGACAATCTCATTCAAGTGATCGATGAAGATATTGTAGAAAAAATTCTTATCATTCCTCTCCCTTTATCTCCTCTTCAGGATGAGTTAATCTGGGTGCCCAACCCTAATGGGAAGTTCTCTATCAAATCGGCCTACAATTTACAGTTACAGGATGAGCTATGCCACCCTAAGGCTTCCCTGTTGAAGAAAATGTGGAGTTTAACTCTGCCTCCCAAAGTCAAGCTTTTTTCTTGGTTACTCATTCGGAAAAGATTGCAAGTTAGAAGCCTTCTATACAAATTCTTACCTAATATCATTCCAGAATGCCCTCTCTGTAATAATCATATGGAGACTATTAACCACTTATTTTTTGAATGTCAGTTTGCAGTTAATATTTGGAGGTGCACGTCTATCTTCCCCAATATTGCTCAACAAAACTTTGATGGCATCGAGTGGTTGGCTTTGTTACCTCATACTAAGGTTGCAGATGGTCCGTGTTCTTTCAAAAGCTCTTCTTCTCAGTTGGCAGATTTGGGAAGCCAGGAACAATTGTATTTTTAAAGATATTGCCCCCCACCCGGTAAGAGCCCTTAATGTGGCTGGTCACATTGGATTGGACAACTGGAAAATCAACTCTTGCCCTCCTCAGAATCCTAGTGGTGTGCTTGCCATCAACTGGAAGTCTCCACCTCTTGACTGGATTAAAGTGAATTTTGATGGCTCGGTGTGCGGTAACTTGGCTGCTTCTGGTTTTGTGATCCCTGACTGGAATGGTAATGTTAGATTAGCTGGAGCTAAACACTCGGGTCAGGTGTCTATTACAGTTGTGGAGTGTTTGGCTCTTCTGGACGGCCTGGCCTATGCTCTCCATAATGGTTGGCAGAAGATTTTTGTAGAAGGAGACTCCAAACTCATCATTGACTGTGTCAACAATGTGGTATCGGTTCCTTGGAATATTAGTCTCCATGTGCAAGATATTAGGATGCTAAGCACTTACTGCGAAGAGGTTTCTTTCCAGCACATCTTTCGGGAAGCTAATTTTACTGTTGATGTTATTGCTAGTTTGGGCCATAATCTTAATCCTTCCTATCTGTGGGAACAAGGTCTTCCTTTGTGTTGATCTATTCCTTTTTATTTTGACTTGTTGGGACCTACATGTCCGCGTGGTTTCCAGTTGTAATTTTTCTTTTTCCTAGCAAAAAAAAGAAAAAAAAGAAAACTAGATTATGAATACAATTCTCACTTGATTAAAAAATGTTGACACAGGAAAATTCTACTAAAACAGTTTAAACCAACATGTTGGAATCCAGATGATGCCTCATGCTTAGGGGTGGTAATTTCCGATACAACCCGTTACACGACATCTTTGTGATTATATGCTACACTATTTAATATTTATAATGTTTCTACAAACTGTTTTTTTTTAAAGAAGTATAATTTCTTGTCCGTTTTTAAAATTTTGATATATATATATTTATTAATACTCACGCAAACCCCACGTGGGACAAATCCCAGCAAATCTGGCAATCTCTTAGAAATTACGGGTGACAGTTGTCATGGAAAGTCATGACGACTTTGCTGAACGTGTTTGTTCAGAAAGGCCATACTTTGCTTCGTCTATAAAGGAAACGAAACGAGGAAAGAAAAAAAACAACATTAAACTAAAAAAAAAAAAAAAAAAAAAAAAAAAAAAAAAAAAAACTAACTCCAATTTTCTTCCTTCCTATTTATCTTGATCTAAACCCATCTCCTCAAACTCAAAAATAAAATGGCATATTCCTTCCCATTTTCTCTCGATCTAAACCTAGCTCCGCCAACTCAAACATAGGGGCAAGGGGCTGCATCAGTGTGGATGCCCTACTTTGCTTCCTCACGATGGCCAGTTATAGTAAACAACTCATTACTCCTTGACAACGATGTTGTCATTGGAGTTGTGAGGAGTTTAGTGACTCCCAAGGATGTGTGTGTGCTAGGAACAAGGGATGATAATAGGGTAGTGAGTGATGATGTGACATTGAGCGTGCAAAGTGCGACATCTGTCACAAGTGTTAGGCATCGCCTAATTGTGAAATCCCATGAAGTACAAGTGTAAAGAGCTCAGTTGGTGATAGAACGGAATTTGGTTGAAGATTGTCAGAGCGTTATTTGAAAATTGAAAAGGGAGAGGGTGATCTTTGGAAGCTCAAGTGATGGGCCCCAAAAAGTGGTGCGTGAAAACCCAAAAGAGGAGGTCCAAAAGGCCAAACTGAAGTCTCCAGTTGTGGAAATAGAAAACGTGTCATGATGATGTTATTCTTGTTTTCATATATTTTTTTAAAATTTAAAATTTAATTTTTAGTGATGTAGTATCTTGTTTTTTCTTTTTTGGTTTAAAGTGAAATAAGTTTTTTAAGTAATCAAGGGTCATTGAAGTTTATTAGTTGCTGCTTCTTTTTATTAAACAGGTTATTAATTTAATAACCTGTTTAAAACGACCCAAACCCGATACGATACATTTAATAATATGTTTAAGACGATCCAAACTCAACACGATGCATTTATTAAATGAATCGGGTTCGGGTCAAGCATTTTGACACGTTTATTATTCCGATCCACGATCCATTGCCAGCCTCGTACTCTCATTCTCTCGCCTCGCACGCTTGACTCGTTCGCTCAGAGCTTCAACTGAGCTCGACCTCTGTCGTTTCTTCAGCCTTCTCCAGTGGTCTCCCCCCAGGTAACTCGCTGTCTCTCTCGTTGACATGCCCAAGGTTTTTCAGGAACCCAAGCTCTATTTGTTTGTTTCCTTTCTGCAATTCTTGTTTTCTCAGGATTTGACATTGGAAGTGAAATTTTTTATCAAATAGGTTTGTTAGGTTGCGTTGTTTCTCCATGAGTTTTGTTAGTTTTCATTGTTTTGTTGACTGATGAGTTGATGATGTTGATGTTCTCTCAAGATCTTTCGTTTTTGTTCTCTCAAGATCTTTCGTTTTTGTTTAGATTCGACGTGAGTTTTTGTATAGATTTTTTGATGCTTGTGGCTAAGTTTTTCTCTAATCTATTGCCAAGCATTTGTTAGTTTCTGTAATGAGTATATTGTTTGGATGAGTGTTCAAAATGTAGTCGAAAAGTTCCTCTGCATTTAGAGTAGGTGCCGTTTCCTGCATTTTAAAGAGAAAATAAACCAACCAATTAATCCTATTGCTTTAACCACTTCACTCCAGCATAATGGCTAAAAGTTGAGAGACTCCACACCTATCTAAGCAGCAGCCTTCAAATTCAAAACAGTTGCATGCTTTGCTGGAAATAAAATATTGAAGACTGATAAATAATTTGAAGCCTTGTATGAAAACCAGTAGTATTAATAATTTTGTTATCTTTTTTAGAACTAGCAAATAGCAATGGTTGTTCTAGCTCTTTAAGATGTCAGAATTCCTAAATTCTTATTTCAATAAATCAGCGAAGCCCCTTTGTTTTGGTTGCTAATCCATGCTATTAGAATTGTTCTCATAAGAGTTCATTCCAACTAACAAAACAGAATGTATTGTGGAATCTTTTAGGTGGAGTTTTGTTTTGTTTAGATTATATATATATAATAGACAACGATCCCTCAACTCCTTTACAAAATAGAGTATCGTTTGTTTGTTTAGTACCATACCAGCTCCACCATGTTGCACCTTGATTAATTACCAACCAAGTTAAGTAGCCAATATTAGCGTAGCTTTTAGCACTTGGGAGTCAGCACATATGTAGCTTTGGAAGTGTACTGTATTTATTTATGTTTATGCCAGCAATTTACAGATATGATATTCTCTTTTGAATTGTCTTATTATGCATGAGGACTGTACTGCCCTGTTTTGCTTAACAGAAATGCTTCTTTGGATGATGATGATGATGATGGTGCATATACTTTAGCCTCAGAGTTTTGCTTTAATTTATGTGAATTTTTTTGCTATATATGCATTTTCCTTGAGAATTTCTCCTACATTATGCATGATTAATTGCATGGTTTTATTTTGCTTTTGTCTAATTGTAAGCAAATGGGGGAGTGTACTTAATGTGAGTGCAACCTAGTTCTACAACCATAGATTAATTGAGTTCGTAGACCGTATAGAACTAATGTCATCATGTGCATTGAATGGAATCTTAAGGAAGGAGAAAAGGGAAATTGTTCTTGTGTTGTGAATTTCATTGTGTTATATTGATTGGCTTAACCTTGGATATATGTACAAGTTTTTTAATTTTGTTTCATGTATGATGATTAGATATGCATAGAAGAAGAGTTGTGTTATTTGTATTGGCAAGGCAACTGCATCTACAACAAAATTGTGATGGGCACAATGGTGTTGTTACATTTGTGTGTTTGTATGCATAGATATTGGAAGAAAAGAAAAGTTCTTAGTAATCACGCATCAGTTAGGCATGACACTCGTTTGAGTGTATTAGATAGCATAGATTCGTAATTTCAAGTGACATACAATGTGTCAATGAACTCCAAATGGATAGGAGGACATTTGGTGTGCTGTGTAATTTACTTTATAGTCATGGGAGGTTGAAAAATGATGGATTGGTGCCTGTGGAGGAGCAAGTGTGTATCTTTCTACATATACTTGCTCACAATGTAAAGAATCGTCCAATGTAAGATATGTTCCAACGTTCAGGAGAGACTGTTAGAAGATAGTTCAATTCGGTTTTAAATGGAGTGTGTAGGTTACAAGGCCACCTACTAAAAGCACCAGAACCTGTGTATTTGAATATTTAATGAATGGAGGGAAAATACGGGTTGTTAATCATTAGGTTAATTATGTGTATTTGAATATTTTTGGAATTTATAATTTTATGAATTTTGATTTTATTAGAAAATACCTTTTTATATTTATTTTATTGGAATATTTGTTGCTTTTATTTTCGTTTTTGCATAATTGTTAATTTTCACGTAAAAAAATATAGTTTAATTCAATTTTAAAAAAAATAAATCTCAAAATAGCATATTTTAACTTAATCCAACTACATAATCCTGTTTAACACCAAACATGGGATTGGATTAGTGTTATCTACTCCAATCCAATGCAATCAAATCTAATCCAATCCCACTACTACATAATCCAATCCAATCCTGGCAAACAAACAGGCCCTAAGTTTCTGAATTAATTTTAGATTTTAGTGCTGATTTGTTGTCGTTTCATGTGATTTGGTTCAATAATAATAATAATAATAGTTGTTCAGCATGTCTTCCATTTTTGCACTGAACCAGTTGAGATAGGGGCTATGGGCTCCATGTTTACATGATTGAGAGGCTAATTTACTTTTCAGTTTGTCTTAGAGTGCACTTTTCTTTTGTTTTTTTAGATGGGTTTGTGTAATTTGATAGGATTTAGTCCTTTATTTTGTTTCTTTGAAGATTTGAAATTGCTTGAATAGAAAACAAATGTTAACCATGAAGTCTGGACCTTGATTTTAACTAATCCTCACTTGGGTTTTATTTCATTAGCTGTTTACAAATAATATATTTTTGTCATCGTTTTTAACAGAGTTTTCTTGGTACAAAAAGGATAGTGATATTCCTGATACTTAATGAATCATTCATCCTATTGGCTAAGTTAGCTAAGACTTGGGTTTTAATTTTTTGAACTACATTTAATGGAGTGCATTCTAAATCATTTCTGTCATTGTATTGGAAGTAGGTTTTGTAAGAAACACAAGAAGTATGGCTTTGACAAACTTCATACTGACTGTCGCTGGTGTAAGTGCGGTGGTTCTTCTGCTGAGGAGTGATGTGAAGCAATCGGCTACCGTCTTCAGGCGCAATGTCAAACATATCCGTAAGTGGCTTGAAGAAGAATCTGCCAATGCCCCCAAGTAATCCTCTTCTCATATTTTCGTTTTCTTGTATAAAAAAAATTTCACTCTGAAATTGTTGATATGTTTGAGGGACACCATTTTGTAAAATTTTTGGTAGTTCATTCTAATTCAAATGTTTCATGAAAATGGTTCAGCTTTACTGTGCTAGTTACATTCTTAAAATGGGTAGTAAGGGTTGTGATTCTCCGCAGAATGCAACACTTGATATGCTTTATATTCAGATTAGATGAGAATTTATGCTGTTGTCATTAAAGGGCATCTTTAAGATGGTACTCATTCCATTCTTATTTTCTTTTGTTCTTGCTTTTCAGCTTTGCCCTAGCCTCGTTCTTTTGGTTAGAGTAATACTCTGTTACTTGGTTCTGGCATTTGTGTCCATGGTCTTTAAAATAGATCGAGATTGATTTGTTATCAAATGATGGTGTAGAGTTCAAAAAAGTTGTCCAGCCAAACTTGGACATGGATTATTGCCAAAGATACCACCTAAGTATGATCTTGAGGACTCGATGAATTGTGATATGAAATTTCATGTTTATTATCATGGCAACAATTTCCTCTGTTTTCTTTTGCATTTCAAGACACTTTAATTTTACTTAGTGGAATTTTGCTTTCAGAATAACCAAGGAACTGGAATCAAAAGTTTCACCAAAGGAGATCCCCAAGGAGGACAAGCACTAGTGTCAATATGATGCACATCCTCAGTTGTTCACAACCGTTGGCTATCCTTTTCTTTAATATAAAATGTGTGATGGCGTTTCTTTAGGAATAAGTCTTTGATCAATGCCTGGATTTTCTGTTCATATCTTGTTTTCGGTCTTTAGATTTACAGATACTTAGCTAGTGATTACTGAGAAAGCTGTAGTTTGATAATCCCAGGTACCCCTTTTTATATCAGCTCTGTATTTTTGTAACTAGTCATACGCAGTTACCTCAGCTGTTGCGAGTTTATGTTGCGAAGAGATTTTGGTATACCATAGAAGCCTTACCAAGCTTTTCTATAAAAGCCTTTCTATCATGTCCAGTGCACAAGATAGAAGGCCAGCCAAGCTTTTTCCTAAATTTCAGTACTGAATGTGGTTAGGTGAATGCATTTGGCACCTAATTGCCTGGTTGAGAAAGAAAGAAAAAGGTCAAATTCAGCCTTTAATTGAATAGTCTGATTTCTAAATTCATTGTCTTTAGCTCAGCTCCCTGTGTCATACGATTGCCGGACTTTAACCTATTTTTGTGTTTCTGTACAAAATTCATTCGAATGTACTCAATACCCGGAAGTTCTCCCAACAGAGTAAAAGGCACCAGCTGATATTACTTTGGAGTTGTTTTCAATTTTTATTTTTATTTTTTGCTATAATGAATTGAATTGAGAAATCTTCAGTTCTAAATCTTGCTTTCTTTTACTTTTAGGTTCATAAAGTGCTTACTTATCAATTTTTACCTCTGTTTCAGTTAATATCATGCTAGAAAAAACCAGAAATCTCTGTCAGGAAAGCTAGCCCGATCTGGTTTCTTAGTCCAATCTTGATGTTTCTAGCCCGATCTAGGGCAAAATCTTAAGACACGCCTGTACACGCATAAAGTAGAATATTGAAGTCCTTAGTCATACAAGGAATTAAAAAGAACTAATCTAATACAGTTCCCCACTCATAACGCAATGACTTTAGTTCAGATCATCAAGCGCAAATCACTAAAATCAAATAACAGATTAATCATATATCTTTCTATTAGGCTTAGCCAAGTTTCTTGGGTTAATCGTTTTATTAGCCCTTGAATTTAAACCTGATTTGCATTTGAGTACCTCAATTTCCAAAATGGTTCCCGTGATCCTTTAACTTTAGTTTTGTTCGGACAAATGGTTCTGCCATCAATTTTATTAACTTTTTGTTGAGACCCAAAAAATTCATGGTTGGGCCCAAATAAATTATTAGCCCAGAACGACAGTCCAAGCGTAAAGCGGAGTACACAAAAACCCACGGCATGCACATGCCACGCTAAATAAATAAATTTGCTAGGGGTTGAGATAAAATATATCGGGTCTACAAGCCCATGCCAAAATTAAACATCGCAGCCCTTCTCAGGAACGATAAATTAAAACATGCCAAGCGACATGCCATGCCAATCACGAAATCGTTATCTCACACCCAACCACGCTACAAGCCTAAGTGGGCCCAAGCTACTCAAATGCCCGGGGCTTGCTTGAGTGGGTTGTGGCATGAATGGTAATAAATCAACATGAGGCCCATTGATGGGCCGAGAAATGGAAAGTCTCGGGTTGCTTGGGAGCCTTGAGACTTAAGCCCATTTTTTAGGTCCAAACATGTGGGTGAGCACAAGAGAGAAAAATAGCTCAATAGCCCAAGGAAAATAGCCTATGGACACAACCAAAAAGCCCAATATTTAACAAAAAGGCCCACTTGCTTAGGGAACCACCTTGGCCCATATAAAACTCCAAAATAAGCCACAAAGCCGCAGCCCTTTGCTAAAAAATAGAAATTACGTTTTACAGAATCATTGAACAAGGACTGCTGGAGGTTGCAGCACATGAGGGAGCAAGTTCCAAGCTAGAGACGCTCAAAGAACCAAGGAATACTAGCCTGGAGGCTGTCAGAAGCACCCTTTGGACCAACGTATATTTTCACTTCCTTTCCTTCATCAGATTTAGCCAAAGAAGGAGGAAGTAAAGAAGAAAAAACAGTAGCTAAGAATGGAAGTTCCCACTAAACAGCTGCGGGAAAGGGGGCATTGAGCTCCCAAATTTCCTGGATTTGTGCAAATAGACAGAGGCAATTTTCGCCAAGATAGGGAAGTCAAAGAAGAAGAGGAGAAAGGAGGAAAAAGCTTAGCCAAAATGGGTAGAAGCTATTAGGGTTTTTTGAAAAATGGTGGTTTCCAGCGACTATAAATTGAGGCTTATACTACCTAACGAGAGCAACTCAGATTCAGAGAGCAAGCCTTCTCTCTAACTTGCAAAAACCCAACAAACTGGTGCACTGTTCATCTTCTTCTCCATTTTGTTCTTTTGGCAGCTGCCAGAAGAACTCTGCTCTTCATTTTCCCTTTCCTTAGCCAAAACATCTCCTTCCTTACCTTAACACTTTCTTTTCTCATAAAGCAAGCCTAAATTCTCTCTAGGTGCTAAACTCATGTTGATTTTGCTCCCATGCCACATGCCACTCACGCTGAGCATAAGAGATTATCTGTAAGCATGCCAAAACCCCCTGTAAGCTGCCATTATTTTGGTTGGTGAAGGTAACTAAAATATTTCCTAAGGCTTTGCTGCCCTTTCGAAGTATTTTTGGGGCTTAATTTTCGAACTAAGACAAAGGGGATAATTCCATCAGTCTGCCCTTTACAATAGCCCAGCCCATTATAGCTGTCGGAAGAAAAAGTCCCCTACACTTTTCTGTTAAATGCAGCGGCAAAATGGTATTTTTGTATTAAAATTGATTAAAATATGAATAAAAAATTTAAATTAAACTTTCTCTCTCCCCCTTCTATCCCGATTTCTACTCCCCCCCAAACTTTATTATTATTTTTTGTTGGTTTTTTATTTGATTTTCTTTTATTGTTATTTTAAAGATATGATTTTTATTCATTTTTTTTGGTTTTAATATAAACATACCATTTTACCCCTGAATTTAACAGAAAAGTGTGATCCACCAGAGGAGAGGGCAGAACACTATTTACGCAGTGTGTCTGGTTCCACTCTCTCTTCTTGAAGTGAGCATATTTTTTGGCACGTCCAGTGAGACTACGTTGTGCATGGTCAGAAAGACTAGAAGAAAAGTTTCCATGGAGGACACAAATCTCAATCCCACGGAAACAGCTTCACAGGGGAACATGGATAAAGAACCTGTCAATTCAGACAGCCAAATACAATCTTTTGCTGAATACGTGGCAGCTGAACGCATGCTCAAGACTCTCATCGAGAGTTTGAAAAGAAATTTGAACACCAACTTTCGCAGTAGTTCTAAAGCTGAGTCTAGACTGGCTTTTTCTCTTGAAAATAGAAAAACATAAGCTAACATCAACAACATGGCGAATCAACTGGCACTTGGACATCACAGTCCTCGCAGTGATGGCCTCGCTTCAAGAATCCTAGGAATGCCTGTGGAAATGAGAGGATTCACTCCGAGGCAAACCAGTGGTCACAGTAATTCTTCACCTCCTCAACAAACGATTTTTCCTATTCCACGAGTGAATACTTTAGCTTTTCTTGTGGTAACAACTGTGGTGCATCCAAACAATGGCAATTTAAATAGGCTCATCTAATTTGGGCCCCTTATTGACCTATTACAAAAGAAAACTGAAAACCCATTCACCAAATCACTTGATTTATGATATCCTAATTATTAAAGTTGATTTATGATATCCTAATTATTTAAGTTTGGGTTATTTGTAGCAATGGTCCCTCAACTATACTCGGAGTTACATTTTGGTCACTCAACTCCAAAAGTAGTTACAGAGGTCACTCAATTAGGTGTTGTGTTGCACCATTAATCCTTACTGTTAGAGAGACTTGACGGTAAGGACTAATGCAACACAACACTTAATTGAGTGACCTTTGTAACTATTTTTTGGAGTTGAGTGACCAAAATGTAACTTCAGGTATAGTTGAGGGACCATATCTACAAATAACCCCTATTTATTTATTTTTTGTTATTTTGTTTTTATAAATATTTGGAATGAATTTCCAAGTTTACCCATGGATTTAACCAAAAAATAGATAGACTTGACGAAAGGGACTAGTAATGCAACACCATACATAATTGGGGACCTTTGCAGTTATTTTTGGAGTTGAGTGACCAAAATGTAACTACGGGTATAAATCAGGGACCATTGCTACAAAAAATCCTTTAAATTTTTTATTTTTATCACCATACACTAACTTTTCTGATAGGAAATTAGATTTTCCCTCTTGTAATTCATTTTTTCTACTTGCAATCCATCATATTAATTTTTCAGATGCACTTTAATTTTTACTTTTTCCCCAATTCTTTTGCAGCGAGCTAGATTACTTGTGGAAGGTCATTACTTTATTATGCTAAACAAAAAAAGGATCTTCTAATTGAGTGATGTTCATGTTATTTCTCAATTCAGCCTCTGTATATTAAGTTTTATGTATGTATGTATGCTTCACTGTACAACCAACCAATTCACATTAAGAAGGACCAACAAATCAACAAGTACTAAACAACTAAACCTCTGTTGACGTGAGTTAACCTACTAAATCAAGGAGATTTATTTTCTAAGCTAACTAGGTGATTTACTTCCTTATTTTATATAGTTGACACATCCTTATATAATTAGGATATATTCTCATAATTAATTACTGTATCTATTTCCTTGTAATTCACTCTTGTAAACTCCTACATATACCTCCTTATGGAGAAGAATATTTTTAACTTAAAGTATTCAAACCATATTCATATTTTAGCATTGTATCAAAGTAATCGATCTTAGGTTGTCTCTAAGCCCTTAAATCATACCCTCAAATTCAAACCCAAACCCTAAATCAAATTCCTTACCTCTCAAATCAAATCCTCTTATCAAACTCCTTAAACACATACCTCTCAAATCAAATTCATACATCAAATTCCTTAAATCAAATTCCTCAAATTCTCAAATCAACTCCTTAACCAACACACACTCATATCAAATCTTACTTCCGATGTGATGTCAGGACCCCCTATGATTCTCTCCCTCCTTCCAGACTCACATAAGCATGCGGTCAATCCTACTAAACTGACTACCTGGGCTTATACCAAAGGTTCTACTTTTCATATGTCATCTCCAAAGCCCACATGGATTATTGACTCGGGTGTTATGGATCACATGACATTTGATTCTGGCCAACTTATTAGTCACAAACTATCCACTCAGTCGGTGGTGTTTAATACTAATGGTACCCCCTCCACTGTGGTTGGAGAGGGCTCTCAATTTCTCTCTAACTCCATACATCTGGATTATGTATTGATTGTTCCATCCTTGAACCAAAACTTGTTGTCTGTTGCTCAACTTACTACTACTTTGGGGTGCACTGTAACATTTTGGCCTAATCATTGCGTTTTTAAGGACATCCTTACAGGAAAGACGATTGGTTGTGGTACTAGGCAGGGTAAACTTTACAACTTCGACTGGGCACCGGATATTGAGACGAAGGTCGGTCAAGCTTTCACAACAAGTGGAGCTAGTTTTGAGAGACAGAGAGACAAAGTTTGGTTATGGCATAAATGTCTAGGGCATGCCTCGTTCAGTTATCTGAAAAAGTTGTTTCTATCATTATTTTCCAATTTTGATGTTTTCAGCTTCCAGTGTGATACGTGTGAATTGACTATGAGCCATCGTGTGCCGTTCTCATTAAGTACAAATAAAAGCTTGGTTCCTTTCTCCCTTATTCATTCTGATGTTTGGGGGTTTGCTCAAATTGCTACACCGGCTGGAGCTCGATGGTTTGTCACTTTCATTGATGACTGCACCCGAATGACTTGGGTTTTCCTTATGAAAACCAAAGGGGAAGTCAATTTAAAATTTCAATAGTTCCATAAAATAGTGGTGACTCAGTTTCATGCCCAAATTTAGGTTCTCCATTCTGATAATGGTGGAGAATTTCTTAATCATGATCTCAACAAATTCTTACAGGATCATGGCATTATACATCAATGCTCATGTCCATATACTCCAAAAAAAAAAAAAAAAAAAAAGGGGTTGAGCCAAAGAATTGACATTTATTGGAAGTCGTTCGTGCATCTCTATTTGGTGCCAACATGCCTCGATCTTTTTACGGTGAGACCGTTGTAATAACCCGATCCTAAATTAATATTTAACTATTAATTTATTCAAGTAAAAGACAATTTTACCCCAAGAATATTTTAATGGGTTAAAAGTTGACTTTTTATTCGGAAAAGAATTTGTGGATTTTAGTAGCACCATTGCATAGAGCACGTCGAGATGACTCCGCAGACATGCAGTGGGCTCAAATCGGAGTTATAACAAAGAAGTTATGATCTACGGAAGCCCAGTGGCATAACTGTAAATATTTCGAAATCAGTTTTTTAAAAACCCAGCCAGCTTTCTCTCTTTTTTCAGATTCAGCCCTTCTCCCCCCCATTTTCGCAGACCATTTTCAGACAGCGAGAATGCCACCGTCCGGCTTTCAATTCCGGCTCCACAGCTTGCAAACTCTTCATCTCTTTCAACTCTTCACATCCATACCAATTTCCAGCCCCGAAATCCAAGGAATTAAACCCAAAATTCGAGCCAAAGTGAGCCTAAAAATGGGCTGTTTCAAACCGTGAGCACCGACGCCATTTCCGGCCAACTCCGGCCACCACCCGCCACCAGATTACTCCCAAAACATCCCATACCTTCCCTCTGTGTTTTCCCTCAAAGAGCCGACCCAATTTCAAGTAGAATTGACGAATCTAAACCCAGAACTTTCTAGGTTTTTTTTCTTAAAAAAAATCGTTCGTTCGAGGGATTTAAAGGTGGAATTGATCTTCGAGCCATGGTATAAAGTTACTCCCCTTGATGTGCTTGATCTGTAGGTATGAATATTGGTCGGCGGTTTGGAGTTTTCTGATTACTGGAAAATTTCTCTCCACACCCCCCTGTGGCGGCTCATCGGTGGGGTGTTTTGGTTGGGTTTTGGTCCTAAAATGATCCCCACATTGTTCCGAGCACGACGGTATGCTCGGATTTCATTTTGGTTACCGTTTGACTGTCGATGGGATATCGCATATAAGACTTTATCTGGGTTCGATATGTTCTGACCATTGGATCAACTTCATTTTCAAATATGTTGAACTAGGTACCTCTAGGATAGTGTAGAAATTCACAGATCGAGAATCGGAGTCCCGAATACTTCAATTCAATAATTCAAAGTTTCAGTAAACGGTAATCGTCCGATCATGTGATCGCGAGCAATCCGACCGTTCAGTTCGGACCAAACTTGTAGGGCATGTTTAGTAAAGTGTGTTGAACCTGTAGGAACTCTCGGATTGGTAATCGGAGGTTAGGGACCCCACAGTGTACCGGGTTGACCTTTATGGGAAATTAATCACTTATTCAATCCCAAGTATTTTCAGACCGTTCCACTTGTCAGAAATGTTGAAAATGGGCCTAAGAACCTTCTTAAGTTACGCACATGCAATTTTGAGGCCGGGGGACAGGGTTTTGATTAAATAATTGTGGTTGAGCTATGTTATTAATTAAATGTTTTTATTGGTTAAATAGGTACTCGGGTTTCATTGAACCCCCAAGAAGGACCCTCGATGGGTCAGGCTAGCTCGGATGCTCAGTGAGTGGACTTTTATTTTATAAATAAATTTTATGCAGTAAAAGTTTTATTATTTCTTTGGAATGAATTATTTATGGCTTTGCTTTCCAAGCAATTATTTTGAATCCAAATATTTTTATTAAATTCTGTTTATGTTTAAATGTGAATGGCTTGGAAGGTAGAAAAGGAAATGATAACAAGATTTAAGGATTTAATAAGAAATAGAATTATAATTTTTCCAGGAAAGGTTTTTAAACCACCACAGGTACCTAAAATGTTGCCTTCGGTTATAATGATGTCTACATACATGCTAGTTGCCTTCGGTTGAGTCAGTGCGTATTTGATAGTTGCCCCACGAGTCTTAGGGATATCCGGACCACGGGGAGCGAGGAATGCAGGTAAGGTTGACCAAGTTTCCCCTGAGTCTTGCGAGAAATGCAGCTCAGGTTGACTTTGTGTTATCGAGACCTGCGAGGATGTGTCCCATTATGTGACACAAGAAATTGATGGTATATTGTGGGAATTAAATAGAAAATCATAGAATTGACGGTTTTGTTATGGGTACACTTAGGTGGAAAGGAATTGTTTCTTTACAATGCTTTCAAATGGTTTTGAGGATTTGTTCAAATGCATGATCGATTATATGTATATTGCTATGCATGCTTGATTTTGGTATGAATATAGAACATGGATATAAATGAATTTTCAAATGTTTTAACAGTGGGGTTAGTATGTTAATATTATATTTTCCAAAACTTTCTTTTGTCCACTCACACTTTACAATGTTTTGAGCCCCCAGGCAGTAGTCGTGTACCAGAGCACGACAACGAGGCGGTCATCACTCATCACTCCTCTTTTTGCACTATGTAGGATGTTCTCTTGTAACTGTTCTAGTTTTGTAATTAACTGAATTAGCTTGCTCTGAAATTGCCCTAGGATTTCTGTAACGCTTGAGGCCATAAAGATTTGTTGTTGGTTGTGTGTGTCCTACCATTGTGCTTGCTGAATGTTGGTGGATATTTGAATTGCATGTTGTACAGGTGAAAAAGTTCGGGAAACGAGCATTTTACAGGGGAGATTGCCGAATTTTTGGCAGATGTCAAACCCAAAAGAAGTTTTTGAATTTTAGTTAGAAGGGTAATTTGGTCAGGTGTGCTCGGCACTTGCCAGCTGTCGGACATGCACAGGGTTCGACTCAGATTCCAAAGTGGAATTTAGGTCGGGTCCTGTCAACTTGGTATCAGAGCATTATGTTTAAATTCCTATGGACTTCGCACCTTGTGTGCATTCATGTTTTGATAAATTCATGTTTCTTATGACAGAATCATGGGGCCCAAGTGTGGTCGTCCCTATTTCGGGGACATGATCCCCTCATGAGCCGGAGGAATACCCTATTTTGGGTTCGACACCGGAACAGGTTGAGCAATCATTTGTAGGGGATCGGACAGGGGCAGTACCGGCAATGGTCACCCCACCAGTTGACCCAAATTTTCAATAGACATTAGAGTTGTTGACTCAGGCCTTATCTCAAACTGGGCATACTAGGGATGCAGTTTTGACTTATGCAGATCAGGCTAGAAGGATAGGGGCAATGGAGTTTAATGGTGATGGTGACCCTGTTATAGCTGAAGAATAGATAGAGAAGATGGAAAGAATTATGGATGTGATGGACGTTCCACAGGAGCGTAGAGTGGTTTTGGCTACCTTCCTTTCCAGAAATGCAAGATATTGGTGGGAATCAATGAGAAGACGGTATAAGGACCTGTCGTGTAACATCCTACATAGACCAATGGAGAGGGGGTGATGTGCCTTATATGCACATGTCCGCCTCCATCTAGCACGAGGCCTTTTGGGAGCTCATTGGCTTCGGATTCATCAGAACTCTAAAGTTAAGTGAGTTGGGGCTAGAGCAATCTCAGGATGGGTGACTCACTGGGAAGTTGCTCATGAGTTCTCATAAACAAAACTGTGAGGGCAAAGAGGAGGGCCTAAAGCGGACAATATTGTGCTATGGCGGAGCCGATCCTGGGTTGTGATATGTCGGCCATCACATGGCAAGTATTTAGACTGCATTGATGAATAGTTTTATCCTCTAGCCTATTAGTACATGAAGATGGAGGAGTTCCTATAGCTTGAGCAGGGCATCATGACGGTATTAGAATATGAAAAGAAATTCATCGAGTTGTCCAAGTATTGCACACCACTAGTGGCAGAGGAAAGAAAGAAATGTCAGCTGCTTACTAGAGGTTTGAAGGCATCCATTCGTGATATCGTGGTGGGCCAATGTTTGGTAGATTTTGGTGATCTGGTGATGTATGCTTTGTTGATTGAGAGCAGCTAGATGATGGTGCGAGGGCGAGGTGATTCCCATCGGCGTCATTATGATTTGGGTGGTCCCAGTCAGGGGTCATCCAAGAGGAGTAGCTTCAGCTCCTGATCTTTTAGTGGTCGAAGTTATAGAGGTTTTCGAGCTGGAGTAAGTTCTAGTGATGTATCTGACCAGAGTGGTAGTTCTGGACCCCGTTTTGGTGATGGTACAACTAAAAGCTCGGGGAGATAGTTGCAGACGGTATATAGTGGAAGGAGTCGCCCCCAGTATGCCTTGTGCAACAGATATCATACTGGGCCTTGTCAGCAGGGTGCCTCAGGGTGCTTTCATTGTGGATAGTCGGGGCATCATCAGGGGAGTGGTGTATAGGGCCAAGTGCAGGATACATATCAGTTTGTGGGAGCCTCTTCTAGCAATGGGGCCCAAACTAGTACGGCTAGCAGATGAGGAAGTCAGCAGAGGGGACGTGGTGGAAGTTCTAGAGCAACCGACTGGGTATACAATATGGCTCAGCAAGAGGCACATGCGTCACCAGACGTCATCATAGGTATGTTGTAAGTCTATGGAATTCCTACACATGTCTTGATCAAACTCGGGGATGCACATTCTTATGTTGCACGTAGTTTTGCCCATAATTCGAATGTGAGAATCACAGCCCTGCGCGAGAAGCTTGCTATTTTTGTACCCATAGGAGATGTTTTTATGGCTAATGTGGTGTACATGAATAGTTTGGTTTTGGTCGGAGATGTATTCTTGGAGGTGGACTTAATTCGTTTAGATATCATGGATTTAGACGTCATTCTGGGTATGGATTGGTTAGCTAAGCATCATGCTTCGGTTGACTGTTTCCGGAAGGAGGTTGTATTCCGCAGTCCTAGACGACTTGAAGTATCTTTCTATGAGGAGCATAGAGTTCTTCCATCTTACCTCATTTCAGCCATGATGGCGAGATGGTTACTTAGAAAGGGATGCTCAGGATACTTGGCTCATGTGATTGATACACAGGATAATGGATTGCGTTTGGAAGATATTCCGGTGGTACGGGAGTTTCCGGATGTGTTCCTAGAAGATCTTCTTGGATTACCTCCTGAATGGGAGATTGAATTTACTATTGAACTTATCCTAAGAACAAATCCTATTTCTTAGGCGCCGAATAGAATGGCACCAGCTGAATTGAGAGAATTGAAAACTTAGTTGCAGGAATTGGTGGACAAGGGTTTCGTCCAACCTAGTTTTTCTCCTTGGGTTGCACCAGTTTTATTCGTGAAGAAAAAGGATGGCACAATGAAGTTGTGCATTGATTATAGATAGTTAATAAGGTTATAGTGCGGAACAGATATTCGTTGCCTCGCATTGACGACTTGTTCGATCAGTTGAAAGGTGCTAAGGTGTTTTCTAAGATTGGTTTGAGATCAGGCTATCATCAGTTGCGGATTAGGGAGGAGGACGTACCATAATACTACTTTTCAGACGAGGTATGACCATTATGAGTTTTTGGTGATGCCTTTTGGGCTGCCTAATGTGCCAGTAGCGTTTATGGATCTCCTGAACAGAGTGTTCCAACGTTACTTGGATCGCTTTGTGATTGTATTCATAGACGACATCCTTGTGTATTCTAAAAGTCAAAAGGGTCATATGAAACACTTGGAAATTGTGCTGAGAACTTTAAGGAGGAGACAGTTGTATGGAAAGTTCAGCAAATGTCAATCCTGGTTGGATAGAGTGAGTTTTTTGGGGCATGTGATTTTTGCGGAAGGTATTTATATGGACCCCCAAAATTTGGAAGTAGTGGTAAATTGGCCGCGACCAACTAATGTCACTGAGGTACGAAGTTTTCTTGGGCTAGTCGGGTATTATTGTCGCTTTGTGAAGGGTTTCTCTACTATAGCAACACCTCTCACTCGTTTGACAAGGAAATGAGTTAAGTTTGAATAGAGGAAAGCTTCAATGAACTCAAAACTAGGTTGACAATTGCTCTAGTATTGACACTTCCTGATGATAGTGGAAACGTTGTTATCTACAGTGATGCATCACGACAGGGGTTAGGTTGCGTGTTGATGCAACTTGATAAGGTAATCACTTATGCTTATAGGCAACTCAAGAAGCATGAGTTGAATTACCCCACGCATGATTTGGAGCTTGCTACAATGGTGTTTGCCTTAAAGATTTGACGACATTATCTCTATGGGGAAACATGTCAAATTTTTACGGATCATAAGAGTTTGAAGTATTTGTTCACCCATAAGGAATTGAATTTAAGACAAAGGAGGTGGTTAGAATTGATAAAGGACTATGACTGCACCATTGAACATCAATCTGGGAGAGAGAATGTTGTGGCTGATGCTCTGAGCAAGACGTCTCTGGATCATTTGCTTATCTCCGAGGGAAGTATCTTCCATTGTTGGTGGAGTTAAGGACGTCGAGAGTTGGGTTAAGTTTGGATGACCAGGGTGCTTTACTTGCTGCTCTCCACGTAAGACCGATGTTGGTTGAACGAATTATCGAAGCTTAAATGCAGGATCCGTTAATCTACACGTTAAGGTTGGAAGTCGAGAATGGTACAAGAACAGATTATTCGATGAAGAATGATGGAGCTGTGATGGTAGGAACAAGATTGTATGTACTTGGAGATGAAGCTCTAAAGAGGGAAATTCTTGAGAAGGCCCACTCTTCGGCCTTTGCCATGCATCCTGGTAGCACAAAGATATACCGCACCCTGAGAGAACAATACTGGTGGCCTTTCATGAAGAAGGAAATAGCAAAATATGTCAGTAAGCGTTTGATATGTCAACAAGTCAAGGCAGAATGGCAGAAACCATTGGGGTTACTGCAACCACTTTCAATTCCTGAGTGGAAGTGGGAGCACATTACTATGCACTTTGTGTTCAAGCTTCCTCGGACACGGAGCAATCATGATAGAGTGTGGGTAATAGTTGATCAACTCACCAAGTCCGCTCATTTTCTGCCAGTGAAAGCGACTTAAACTTCGAATAAATTGGCCAAATTTTTTATTGATAAAATTGTAAGATTGCATGGGCTGCAAGTATCTATTGTGTCAGACAGAGATCCTCGGTTTACACCCCGTTTTTCTACAAAGTTACATGAAGCTTTTGGGACTCAGTTGCAGTTTAGTACTGCATTTCATCCCCAGACTGATGGACAGTAGGAAAGAATGATTCAAACCTTGGAAGGTGTGCTAAGAGCCTGTGCGCTACAGTTTCGGGGAGATTGGGATGATAAACTACCTGTCATGGAGTGTGCATATAATAATAGTTATCAATCAAGCATCGGAATGTCACCCTATGATGCCTTGTATGGAACGCAGCGTAGAACTCCAATTTATTGGGATGAAGTGGGTGAGAAGAGATTGGAAGTATCTAAAGACGTTGAAGCAACAATGGAGATGGTCAAATTGATTAGAGAAAGACTCAAGGCAGCACAAGACCAACCAAAGAGCTATGCAGACATAGAAGGAAGGAACTTCAATTTGAGGTTGGTGACTGGGTATTCTTAAAGCAGGGGAAGTAAAGCCCTCATTATATTGGGCCATATGAGATTTTGGAGCGTGTGGGCCCAGCGGCTTATAGACTTGCTTTGCCTTCAGAACTTTCTCGGTTACACGACGTATTCCACATCTCCATGCTCCGAAAGTATATTTCAGATCCTTCTCATATTCTGGAGTCGCAACCAATAGAATTGAAGGATGATTTGAATTATGTGGAGCAACCTGTTCAGATTTTGGACTGGAAGATACAAGTATTACGTTCTAGAGAGATTCCACTTGTGAAAATCCTATGGAAGAGTCATGCGGTAGAAGAGGCCACATGGGAACCCGAGGAGTAGATGTAGGCCTAATATCCTTACCTCTTCGAGTGATAGGTATGAAATTTTGAGGACGAAATAAGGGGGTAGAGTGTAATAACCTGATCCTAAATTAATATTTAACTATTAATTTATTCAAGTAAAGGACAAGTGTACCTTGGGAATATTTTAACGGGTTAAAAGTTGACTTTTTGTTTGGGAAAGAATCTGGGGATTTAAGTATTACCGTTACATAGCACATGTCGAGATGAGTTCGTAGACACATAGTGGGCTCAAATCAGAGTTATAACGAAGAAGTTGTGATCTACGGAAGTCTAGTGGCATAACCGTAAATATTTTGAAATAAGTTTTTTAAAAACCCAGCCAGCTTTCTCTCTTTTGCCAGATCCAGCCCCACTTTCCTCATTTTCGCAGCCCATTTTCAGACAGCGAGAACACCGCCGTCCAGCCACCAATTCCGGTGCTACAACTTGCAAACTCTTCATCTCTTTCTCCTCTTCACATCCATTTCATTTTCAGCCCCCAAATCCAAGGAATTAAACCCAAAATTCGAGCCAAAGTGAGCCTAAAAATGGGCTGTTTTGAACCGCGAGCACCGACGCCATTTCCAGCTAACTTCAGCCACCACCCGCCACCAAATTACTCCCAAAGCATCGCATACCATCCCTATGTGTTTTCCCTCAAAGACCCGACCTAATTTCAAGTAGAATTGACGAATCTAAACCCAAAAATTTCTAGGTTTTTTCAAAAAGGAAATCGTTTGTTTGAGGGCTTTAAAGGTGGAATTGATCTTCGAGACAAGGTATAAAGTTACTCCCCTTAATGTGCTTGATCTGTAGGTATGAATATTGGCCGGAGGTTTGGAGTTTTCTGATCGCCGAAAAATTTCTCTACACTCCCGCTAGAGGTGGTGACGCGTCGGCGGGGTGTCTAGGTTGAGGTTTTGTCCTAAAATGATCCCCATGTCGTCTCGAGCATGACGGTATGCTCGGATTTTATTTTGGTTAACGTTTGACTGTCGATGGGATATCGCATATCAGGCGTTATCCGGGTTCGATATGTTCAAACCATTGGATCGACTTCATTTTCAAATATGTTGATCTAGGCTTCTGGAATCGTGTAGAAATTCCTGGATCGAGAATCGAACTCCCGGATACTCCGATTCAATAATTCAAAGTTTAGGTAAACAGTAACCGTCCCATCGCGAGTGATCTGCCTATTCGATTTGGACCAAACTTGTAGGGCATGTTTAGTAAAGTGTGTTGAACCTATAGGAACTCTCGGATTGGTAATCGGAGGTCGTGGACCCCACAGGGTACCTGGTTGACCATTATGGGAAATTATTCGCTTATTTGATCTTAAGTCTTTCTAGACCATTACACCTGTGAAAAATGTTGAAAATGGACTTGGGAACCTTTTGAAGTTATGTACACGCACTTTGGAGGCTGGCGGACAGGATTTTGATTACATAATTGTGGTTGAGTTAGTTTATTAATGAATTATTCTAATTGTTTAAATAGGTACTTGGGCTTCATTGAACCCGCAGAAAGGACCCTCGAAGGGTCAAGCTAGCTCGGACGCTCAGTGAGTGGACTTTTGTTTTATAAATGAATTTTTAGCAGTAAAAGTTTTATTATTTCTCTGGAATGAATTATTTTTGGTTTTGCTTTCCAAGCAATTAGTTTGAATCCAAATATTTTTATTAAATTATTTTTATGTTTAAACATGAATGGCTTGGAAGGTAGAAAATGAAATGATAACATGATTTAAGGATTTAATGAGAAATAGAATTATAATTTTTCCAAGAAAGGTTTTTAAACCACCATAGGTACCCAAAATGTTGCCTTCGGATAAATTGTTGCCTTCAGTTATACTGATGTCCACGGACATCCTACTTGCCTTTGGTTGAGTTAGTGAGCGTTTGACAGTTGCCCCATGAGTCTTAGGGATATCCGGATCGCGAGAAGCGAGGAATGTTGGTCAGGTTGACCAAGTGTCCCCTGAGTCTTGCGAGGAATGCGACTCGTGTTGCCGAGACTTGAGAGGATGTGTCACATTATGTGACACAAGGAATTGACGGTATATTGTGGGAATTAAATAGAAAATCATGGAATTGACGGTTTTATTATGAGTACACCTAGGTGGAAAGGAATTGTTCAAATGCATGATTGGTTATACGTATATAGCTATGCATGCTTGATTTTTGTACAAATATAGAACATGGATATAAATGAATTTTCAAATGTTTTAACAGTGGGGTTAGTATGTTAATACTATATTTTCCAAAACTTTCTTTTGTTCACTCACACTTTTAAATGTTTTGCGCCCACAGGCAGTAGTCGTGTACCAGAGCACCACAACAGGGCGGTCATCACTCAACACTCCTCCTTTTGCACTATGTAGGATGTTCTCTTGTTACTGTTCTACTTTTGTAATTAACTGAATTAGCTTGCTTTGAAATTGCCCTAAGATTTCTGTAAGGCCTGAGGCCATAAAGATTTGTTGTTGGTTGTGTATATCCTACCATTGTGCTTTCTGAATGTTGGTGGATATTTGAATTGCATGTTGTATAGGTGATAAAGTTTGGGCAACGAGCATTTTACAGGGGAGACTGCCGAATTTTTGGCAAAAGTCAAACCCTAAAGAAATTTTTTAATTTTAGTTAGAAGGGCAATTTGATCAATTGTGCTCAGCACCTGCTAGGTGTCGGACACACACAGGGTTCGACTCAGATTCCAAAGTGGAATTTGTTTTGGGTCCTGTCAACCGTCCTCTATGCAGCTTAACTTATAAATAGGATTCCCTCAAGTATCTTGAATTTCCAAACTCCTCTTCAAATACCTCACCACCATCGCCAAATACCTCCCACCCCAAACCTTGAACCATGAATTTTCGGCAGTGTTGTATTTGTACACTTACCTGATCACCAACATAACAAATTCAATCCCCGCGTAGAAAAGTGTGTTTTCATTGGATATGCCCCTAATCAGAAAGGGTACTGATGTTATCACCCTCCAATCACAAGGTCTATACCTCTTTGGATGTAGTGGTTCGCGAACACGACATATATTTTTCAAAAGCACAAGAGGAGAATCTAAAGCCAAACACCTCGACTTTTCTGTACTTTTTCACAATAGAGGAGGCTCAACATCAAAGTGACCGGTAGACCCTCCAAAACTACCGATAGCCTTCATTTATTCATGCACATAAGGCATTTCTGCCTTAAAGCTACCGGTTGCCTCTCCCACACGACCAGTTGGCCCCCTTTATTCCTTCACAGGCGTAGCCATTGTGTCAAAACGACCTGTCGCTTTGTCCTCCTTTACCGAACATTAAGCCTTTGTGTCAAAATGACCAGTCACCGGTGGAAAATGATCGGTCAACTCCAAGTTGCCAAAATCATGAGGAGGAAGTTAAACTGCTTTTTAAGATTTCACCCGCGCCAGACCCACATTCAGCTTTAGTACCATGCTAGTCACCTTCTGAGGAAGTCATTCATATAACATCTCCCCCTGAAACTAATAACACTAATGAAATATACCATAATGATTTGATTTTAGAAAGCATAAAGGATATAGATACCCTTATATACCAAATTCCAGAAAGGAAGAACCATGGTAAACCTCGAGTACAATACGAAGCAGATTTTAAAGTGAAAGGAAAATACCCCATCAATAATTATATATATCTCTAAGCAGATTATTAGAGCCACATGTATACTTTGTGAAGCAGTTGGTAGACATATTTGTCCCCAATAGTGTGACTGAAGCACTAGAAGACTCAAAATGGAAAGAAGCCATGAATGAATAAATGCGAGCTCTCCAGAAGAATGCCACATGAGAGCTCGTGCCTTTACCTTACGGAAAAAAGACAATGGGATGTAGGTGGATCTATCTGTGAAACTCAAAGCAGATGAATCTATTAAAAGATATAAAGCTAGATTAGTGGCAAAGGGGTGCACATAGAGATGGTGGACTACCAAGAGACCTTTGGCCCAATAGCCAAGATCAACACTATCAACGTCCTACTGTCTCTAGCAACAAATCTAAACTGTTCACTACATCAGTTCGATGTTAAAATACCAACTTCTGGAGAGCTCGCATTTATTCATTCATGGCTTCTTTCCATTTTGAGTCTTCTAGTGCTTCAGTCACACTATTGGGGACATATATATCTTCCAACTGCTCCACAAAGTATACATGTGACTCTAATAATATGCTTAGAGATATATAATTATTGATTGTGTATTTTCCTTTCGTACTGTACTCGAGGTTTACCACGATTCTTTCTTTCTGGAAGTTGGTATATAGGGGCACCTGCATCCTTTATGTTTTCTAAAATCAAATCATCATGGTATATTTCAATTGTGTTATTAGTTTCAGGAGGAGATGTTACCTAAATGACTTCTTCTGAAGAAGATTGGTGTGGTACTAAAGCTGAATGTGGGTCCGAATTGGGCAAAATCTCAAAAAACAGTTCAACTTCCTCCTAATGATTTTGGCAGTGTAGAGTTGGTCAATCATTTTTCACTGGCAACCGGTTGTTTTGACACAGAGGCTTAATGTTCGGGAAAGGAGGACAAAGCGACCGATAATTTGGGTAGAGCGACCGGTCGTTTTGACACAGTGGCTATGGCTGTGAAGGAATAAAAGGGGGAGACCGACGACACATATTCGCCGAGATAGGTCTATCCTATCAAAGTTCGTCGGGATAAGTCTATCCCGTTAAAGTTCGTTGGGCTAGGTTTATCTCGACATAATTCGTAAAGCCCTGGGTCGAGTTACGTGTAGGTTTGGTTACGTCAGACTAACCCAAGACTGAGAGCAAAATCTAAATCGTAAAGCCCTGGGTCAAGTTACGTGATTATCCAAGCCTAATTGAGTCCTAAGTGCCCTACAGTAGATTTATAGCTAGAGTTTAAGGCTTGCGAACGATTTCGGAACAAGTTCGGACAAGTTCGAAAGCTAGGGTTTTTGGTTCGAGACTTGGATTTAGAGTTTGGAGATTAAAATTCGATTTTTAGAATTTTTAAATAATTGAAACTATTTTTAGAATAATTTTAAATTCCACAAAATTATTTAAGATAATTAAATATAATTAATTTGTATTTATTAAGTCATTTTTGTGAAATTAATTGAAATATTTAAATACTAATTCTTCACTAAACCCTAATATAATATTTTAAAGGTATAGCCGTGCGGCTATACTCCATAAATATAATATTTTAGTAGTATAGGGCTATTTCTAGCATTTCATGGAAGAGTTTGTAAAAGATTTATGTAATGGCCCCCAAAATAAGTTATTCACACTTTTGGTCCCTCTAAAAATTGTTTTCTAGCTTCACCCTCCTGTTTTGTTTTAAAAAAAAATTATGAAAGATTTCATTAATTTGATAAACTTGGAGTATTATCTGTTGAACACAAAAAATTACATGACAAGGAAAGGGGCCCGGGATAAAAGCCCAAGACGTGAAGGTTGATGTTTAAGGCTGCGGATTGTCCCTACTAGAAATTAAAAGGAGATAAGGTCAGTTTTCAAAAGAAATATAAAATAAAACGAATAAAAAATAAAAGGTGGGAAGAGATCATGTTTATCCTCTGCAACTCCATTCAGCAGAGAGGCCGCCCACTTAGCAAACATGCTTCCCCAATTGCTATATCTTTTGCCTATAAAAGACATGAACGTGCAGAGGTAAAAAAAAAGGAGGTGCTGCAGAAAAAAAAAGGGCAGAAACAGAGGCAGGAGAGAAAACGCAGAGAGGAACCAAAGGACTGCACATTAGGGGCGAGAAGTCTAAAGAAGGCAAAAATAAAAAGCTGCTGCAGGAAAGAAAAGTTTGGAGAGAAAACGAAGAGGTTGCTGGGATTCTGATTAAGGAGGAAGAGAAAGAAAAGGGCAGAAGAAAGGCAAGTATAAAGTTTATTTCTTCTGCCAGAAAATTTCATCATGTTTCTCTGTGCAGTATATTCCCTTGCTGCTCAAAACTCAAACATCTTATGCGAAGTTTAATTAAACAAGCCTCTGCAAATGACGTTTCCTGAGCATCACACGGAAGTCGACCTTTAAATAACAGTCATGGGGCACCAAATTGATGACAGATTTCCTATCAAAAGTTCAAAGTCCCCTTCCGCTGCTGTTTGCCATAAAGGCTTTGAGAATGTGCATTGCGAAATTCCTCCATGTCTTTGCTGTCAAAGAAGTCTCATGAGACCACTGCAGGCAAAAGAAATTCATCATTCTCAAAAAAAGAATTGAAGAATCATGTCCCTGCTGTTAGAGAAATCTCAAGAAATCACACAAGAGGGAGCTCTCGCAAGGACCTCCCTATTGTGAAAATATACAGATAGGCTTCCACAGGAACCCCACTGTATTAAGTGTTGTGAGCGCTTTGCAGGTGTTCATAGACATACTCATGAAAATAATGCAGGTGTTTTTGAGTAACAAACAAAAAGACAAAGATATTCAAGGGGTTTCTGTACAAAAAGAAAACTGTCTTCTTGTCAGACCAAAACTTCTCCAAATCAAACACAAGAGAATTAATTTGCACCCCTCAATTTCCCTGGAGCCTTGGAGTCTTTAACAAATAAAGAAGAAAATGAATGCACAAGTGGGCAACAAGCCTTTCTCTGGCGTCCTGCAGGCCAAACTAAATGGGACTTTGCCCCAGCAAAAGTTCCAGTCACAAATCAAAGAAGGAATGCACTGCTGTTGCTTAGTGGAAAAGTGGAGCAAGAAAGTGGTTGTTTAGTGAGGATGTGATAATAGCAAACCCAAAGCCCAACTAATTGGTTTTGCTGGACATGCAGAGACTCGCATCTTCCTAGCCAAATATCCAAAAATTGTCAAAGAAGGATGAAGGGCAAGTGGGTCATCTTCCAAATTCAAGGGTTCAAACAGGATCTCCCACATGTTTAAATGGAGCTAACCATTGACAATTCTCAAGTGCTAGAAAATACCAGTTAACAAATAACAGGTATAACCATCAAATAAAGTTTGATGGACCTTTTCCTCAAATCAAATTGGTCCATCCAAAATTTCCTTCAAAATAAAAACGTATCAACTAGCAAATAATTGATACGAAAATCCTAAATTGCTCAAATGGTACAAAACCATTCTAAATTTTCTCATGGGTCATCTACCCGTGCAAATTTCAAATATCTCAAACATACAAATTCTTTTAAGGGGTCATTCATTCTTTGAAAGTCCAATCAAGATATCAAGGAACTACGTCCGGTTTGATTCCGCCAAGGATACGTAGGCAATTTGGAAATTTAATCCAAATACAACCGCAAGTCCAAACAGAACCCTTGGTGTACCTTAACCAAATTCGCCCCAAACACTTTCCCAACCACAAAATCAAATTGAATCCCTGGTCCAACCACATTCATCCAAATTCCATAAAAGATTTCTCATACTACAAATTCTTTCAAGGGGTCATTCATTCCATGAAACTCCAGTCAAATTATCTGAGAACTACAAAAGGCTAGATCCCCAAAATGGGGTATGTAGGCAGTCTAGGGTTCCCTGGATGCGGCCGTAACATTAAATCAAATTCCATTACTTATTTCATTCTTCATATTGGAATCAAAGGGTTTTCTCTTTCCAATGAGATTCTAATTAAGAGATATAAAATTAAGAGATATCTTCATCTTGAATGAGTCGTACTCAATTAATAATAAAAACTCTTATTTGTAAATAAGAATGAGATTATGTTGGGTGAATTTTTAATTTCCTTATTACATTTTTTATCTAACATTATCCAATAACAATGAAGTAATTAAGTCATGGAGGCTCTTCCTCTAACCAAAAGATTCTTGATCTAACAACAAGGCATGCCTAGCCAGGGAGTGAGCCACCTTATGTATTGGAAAAAGGAGAGAACATGTAGCACAAAAGCAAAGTAGAACACAACAATTTATGTATTGAGAACATTAATTAGTACTTTCTACTTCTTGGATAAAGGAAGAGGTGCCAAGGACGATGTAGCACAACCAAGAGCCTTTGTCACGCCAGTAATTGTGGGCTTGACATTAGAACACATAGAGGTAAGAGGGCCTTTGTCTCCACCGTAGGTGAGATCAATGTCAGTCAACCCCACATTCTCACACGGTATGCCCGTGGTACATACAAGCTTGACTGCAAGTGGAGTGAAAGATGAGCCCTTAATGTTCTTGAAGCTGACATTGCTTATCTTAACTTTTGACGGAGGCTTTTGTTCACACCGATTATATGGGCAGTACAATTGGTCTACAAGGATAGGGTTACTGACATTAACCATGATAATATCCTCATAGTGTATACCGGAGGCAATGCTAGGCGAAGGAGAATCTGGAAATGTTTTGATTCTCACACCGTTGTCCGTATTAGTCAGGGTGCAGTTCTTAACTATGATCCCGGTCACATCCTTTTCGTCCTTATATTTTCCAAGGCTTCCAATGCTTATTCCATGGCCAGGCCCACAAGTAACATCAGTCACTGTGATTTCGTGGGAGTCATCACCAATAGAAATACAGTCATCCCCAGTTCCAATCTTTGCATGAGTAATGTTGATACCAGTCGAAGCCCCGATATGGATTCCATCTGTGTTTCTGCTGTCGTCAGGTGCTGTGATGGTAAGCTGTTGAAATGTGGTATGGTTGCATCGGAAAACATGCATGTGGAAAAATTTGCTGTTAAGTGAAGTTATGTCCTGAACTTTGGAATTTGTGCGGATTCGAACCGCAGATTAACGGGAATAGGTTTGCAATTTTTGTTTTTGTGGCAGTCATTTTGATTCCAAGAAAGTGCTCCTTGGCCATCAAAAGTCCCACCACCTGATAAGGTGAGCATGTCAATGTACTGAAAACCAACCCAAGTATCCGGTCTTGTGAGTTGGCCAACGTCTACTGGAGCCTGCAATGTGCCTTGAACTTGCATCTCAATAGGAGCCTTACATGGGCCTCTAAAATTTCCTTCTTTTAACTTGTATGTCCCGCTCGGAACAACAACTTTACTTGCAGATGGCGATGCTCATGCATCACTCCAAGCCTTTGCCAAGGCCGTATTGACATCAGAGCCAGGCTTTGCACCGTATGTTGCACTCGTCATGTCAAACACACTAGCATGAGCTTTAGGTGTAGATGCTAACAATAAGCACAAAAGCATTGCCAAGAAACTTAATTTCATAGCCATCTTGATTTTCCTTCCACTTTGTTATTTTAATCTCTGTTTTTTTTTCCTTTGGAAGGATGATGCAACTCCATTTTGAGTTGAGGCCAATTTATAGTCCGATTGGGAAGGCTCAACACCATCAAACTATCCAACCAATCACTAACTATTTTTATACATAGTTGCATTCTAGTTTAGCTTTATATCCTATAATTAGTAAGCTGTTTAGCCTTGAGAATATTCATCACCAAATCTCTATCTAGAACGTGCTAAGCTGTTTGTAGTATTGCTGTCCTCCTCCACACCCCGCAATATATGTATATTCCAAAAAAGGAGGACCAAAACCATGCATACACACCTGGATAGAGTTAACAAGATCAACAGGAACAGACCATGCCTACACTATTGGCGCATCTATGTATATACATCCAACTAGAAAGTGCCTCATCTTAACAACTTTCATTCATCTACTTAGCTTAAATAATCCACTTGCACCATTGTGGTGGTTAGTTCATCTATCTGCCAGTGACATTGATCTCACCTACAATGGAAACAAAGGCCCTCTTACGTCTCAATGTTAGTGTCAAGCCCACGATTACTTGTGTGATGAAAGCCCTTGCCTGTGCTACCTATGCTGGGTTAAAGAAATGGAAAGTACTAAAGATAAATTGTTGTGTTCTTTGATTTTTTTGATTTTGTGGTGCTTGTACAGGTCTTTTTTCTTCGCTTAGATACCTTCACATGTTCTGAGCTATAAAATTCTAATATATTTAATATTTGCAAATAAATTGCTTGTGTTAAAGCATACATTCACTAATTCATCATTGTCTAGATAATGCATCAGTTTCTACTCTATATACTTTTCTTGGCCTACAACCAGTTCGATGCCAACAAGAGGGCATTTTTTCTTCCCATGCTTGGCCAATTGAAGCTAGGATTAGTATGCCAGCTTGATTTTGATCCTTCCACCATATTAATTGAAGATTATCAGACAAACTGAATATGTATATGTATATATATATACATACATTTATTATCTCATCCGGACGGTCTGAAAGTTATTATTGTGCGGGCGCCATTGTATACAAGGAGTACACCTTTAAAATAAATTAATATTTAAAGAGTGGCCATAATTGTTATTTATGCGAATATGTTTTAACTATAGCCGTGCGGCTATACTATTGAAATATTCCAATGTATGTCAAGAGTATAGCCGTCCGGCTATACCGCATAAAAGGGTGTTCTTTTTTGTAATTAAGTAATATCTTACGAATCTAAAATTACTTTAATTTTTATGTATTTAGTGAATAATTAGTACTGAAATATTTTACTAATTTCAAAAATTACTTAATAAATTGTAAATAATTATTTTACATTATTTTGTGGACTTTGTTTTTTATTTAATTTTCTACAAAATTAGTTTATATTGTTTAATATGTTCGAATATTTTAATAGTATAGCACAACGACTGTACTATTAAAATATATTAATATTTAAAGAGTGTAGCTTCGTGGCTATACCTGTGAAAAATATTCGGGTTTTAAGAGTATAGTCGCACGACGATACTATTAAAATATTCAGACATATTGAAATATTCGAAAATATTAAATTAAATAAACTAATTTTGTACAAAATAAAATAAAATAAAAAAAGTCCTCAAAATAATTTAAGATAATTAATTACAATTTATTAAGTAATTTTATAAATTAGTAAAAATTTTAAATACTAATTGTTCACTAAATTTATAATAATTAAAGCAATTAAAAAAGGCTAAGATATCTCATATTTACAAAAAAGAAGGCACTGGTATTGTTCCTTTTTGGTTGGCAACCGATCCATGTCTTCTCACAACTTGTGATTTATCTTAATGGGTGTGTCAGCATGCTTACATCCAAGCATTCTTGTTTTAGTGTGTAGATCCATCAGATACTTCCTTTGAGACAAAAATGTACAAGTTTTTTACCTTGCTAGTTCAATTCCGTGGAAGTCTTTAAGAGTACCTAAATCCTTCATCTCAAATTACTCAGACAAATACTTTTGTAACTTATGTTGGTCTCTTGTGTTGTTCCCAGTTACAACTATGTCAGCCACATAAACAATTAATGCAGTGATATTTCTTTCATCACACTTCAAGAATAGGGAGTCATCTGAATTACTTTAAGTGTATCCAAAATTCTTGATGGACTTAGTAAATCTGCCAAACCATGCATTTGGAGATTATTTTAACCCATAGAATGACTTTATGTGCTTGCAAACTTGATTTTTCTTTTTAGGAGCTAAATTACATCCTTGTGGTAAGTCCATTTATATCTCTTCTACCAAGTCTCTATGTAAGAAGGCATTCTTAACATCAAACTGATGTAGTGGCCAATCTAGATTGGTTGCTAGAGACAGTAGGACTCTAATAGTGTCGATCTTGGCTATTGGGGCAAAGGTCCCTTGGTAGCCCACCTCATATCTCTGTCTGTACCCCTTCGCCACCAATCTAACTTTAAATCTTTCAATGGATCCATCTGCTTTGAGTTTCACAGTATAGATCAACCTGCATCCCATAGTCTTCTTTCCATAAGGTAAAGGCACGAGCTCTCATGTGGCAATCTTCTGGAGAGCTCGCATGTAAGACCCCGTCCCAAAAATTACTTTTCAATTGATTATTTAATTGTGGATTTACAATTTTGCCCTTGGGGATAGGGTTACTTTAGTCACTTTTCGATTTGGAAGGATTTTGAGGATTTGAGTGACACCATTTCATAGATCTCGCTGTCACGAGTTCGTAGACACGTAGTGGGCTTAAATCGAAGTTATAACGAAGAAGTTGTGGTCAACGGAAGTGCAGTAGAACAAACGTAAATTTTTCAAAGTTGGGTTTTAAAATACCTAGTCAGCCTCTCTCTCTCTCTCTCTCTCTCTCTCTCTCTCTATACGCATGCGACTTTCTCTCTTTACACGAGTGGCAGCAAATTTTCGACGGCGATTTTGTTGTCGTCCAATTTCCGATTCGAGCAAAATTGGTTGCAAAAGTTTCGTATCAATGTCCTTTATCTTACCCCCATTTTACTAGCATAAAAACTTAACGAAATTAAATTGGAATGATTGGAAGTTTGGGTGATTTTTGAAGTTTCCGACGTTGTTTTCAGCGATCCCGGTTGCGGTTTTCATCGATCGAGGTACGAATCTTTATCCCATCCACGTGCTTTAGTTGTCTATGCAAGTATCTTGGATCAATTTTGAGGTTTTACATGTCGTTCAAAATACCCATTTTAGCCGACGGTTTCGGCTTCAATTCGGCTAGTTCCGACTAGTTTTTGGCCGTGGTCCAAGAACAAACCTTGATCCCCTAGTAAGTCTGAATCTGTTGGCATAGGTATTCTCCGATGGTTTGGAGATTTTCTGTCGCTGGTAAATCTTTTAAGACACCCACGCGCTGTTGGCGGTAGGTGGCGGCCCATAGAGTTCTAAATTGTTACTCTTGTTGTCCTAAGCATGACGGTATGCTCGGATTTGGATTTGATTATCGTTTCACAGTCGAACGGATATTGCACCTATTATGCAATATCCGGGTTCAATAGGTTTGGACCGTTCAATCGGTCCCATTTTCTAATGCGTTGTTCCTCGTACTTCTAGGATTTGTGTTGGAACTGGTGGATCGAGAATGGGAGTCCCGGATACTTCGAATCAATAATTCTAGAGTTAAGTAAACTGGTTACCATCCGATCGTGCGATTGAGAGCGATCCAATTGCTCGATCGAGACCAAACTCTGGAAATTTGATAAGTAGACCTTGTTGGACTTATAGTAAAGTTTGGATCGAAAATTGGAGGTTGTGGGCCCCACGGGCCCAATTGTTCAAATTCAAAGATCGGGGTCAAACCGACCGTTAGATCGTGACGGGACTTCTAGAATGGGCTGAACTTTTGGTTATGGACCAATAGGAATTGTCATATAACAATTGGGGTCGTGGTCCCTTCGAGCCCAGATGACTTAGATTGTGGGCTTTATTGGCTCAATTGAGGCCTTTTAGTAGTTGTAATTGTAATTGGAGGTTTGTTTAAAATGATATTGTGTTTTGAGTGTTTTATTAAATTTTTATGAATTATTATGTAATCGCTTTTACTTTCCGTGATTAAGGAATGGCTTGGATAACCGGGTTTTGGCATGAATGAGGAATTAATTAAATGCCTGATTGAATGTCTATATTTAAATATATGCTCTGTGGCTTGAAATCGATGAATGATGGAGACTAGTTTTCTCAATAGTATGTTGTACGTATTTGAATGTAGTTTGAGAACAGTTTTGAAAGATTATGCCTGGTCAAGTTCAAGTTAAGGAATGTTGGGATTGATCTCATTTTAAAAAGGGATTTTTGGTTATCTATTTAAGAATTGATTTTTGGAAAGTTGAGAAAGAATTTGGAAACTGGATTTGTGAAAGTGGATCAGTGGAAAAAGAGGAATTTTATGATAAGTTTCAGAAAATGGTTTTCAAAACCCACCACCGGAGTACCGCCCCCCAGTTGCCTTCGGAACAGTCTAGTCATTTATGACAATGCCCACGAGTCTCGAGGACCCCTGAACTGTGTGGTACGAGGATTTGCGTTCTCAGGTTGATTATATCTTCCTGAGTCATGCGACGGGATTTGACGAATATGCGTTTCAGGCTGATCACCCGATTCTAAGAGGATACGCATTCTCGGGTTGGCTGCGTGTTCCTCGAGTTCTGCGATGATATGCGTTCTCGGGCTGACCACGTGTTCCCCGAGTTCTACGAGGA